GGCCCCCCCCCCCCCCCCCCCCACCCTTCTTTGTGTGCATGTGTCCCCCCCCCCACCTTCTTTGTGTGAATGTGCGGCCGTCTTTATGATCTGCCCGAACGCGACGCACGGACCCCGGGCTCATGCGTGCAATCTGATTTCGGCGCACCTCTGTTGAATGCACGCAGCGGTAGATCGAGGTCACATTTACGATCGCATCCAGGCAGTTGGAGACGGATTTGTTCTCATCAACGGGCAACTTATATCTTATAAGGGCAATTTGAACCACAGCCGCGGCACAAGCCCATCGAGTTCAGGCATTCGTGCTTTGCCCCGGCAAAGTCGAACCTTGGATCCTGCCGTTTTGCAACGAACAGATTCGACGTTTGATGCTGATGCTTCCAGTACCATGACCAGTGCAGTTGACCTGGGCAGCGAAGATCCATTCGCTACCATGGACACGGACGAGGAAGGCATTTATAGCAACCGTGCTGGAATGCGCGTGCGATCTGTGACACCCCTGATGCTTCAGCCAACGCCCCCGACCCCGGCCATGGAATACGTGGTGTCCAAGACCTCAAGCAAAGCCTCGTCTACTGCCGCGAGCCCAGGTCCGGGCAACGAGCTTCGCAAGACCAAGGACAAAGACAAGGACACAGACAAGAATAAGGACAGAGTCAAGGCCCTTGATAAGAGCAGAAGCAAAGACAAGGAGACGGAGGCGGGTGCAGTGTCAGAGAAGGAAAAAAGCTCGGGCAGCAAGTCCAAAATGAAGACCTTCAAGAGCAAAACTCTTCGTGGTCGCAGTGGCCGAGAAAAGCACGCTCGCAGTAAGAAGCTCGCCGAGGACACTGAAGGCCACCACCGGCGTCAATCCATTACTCGAGCTGGGTTCCGTGCCTCTACGAGCGAGCGAGCGCGTGCAGCACAGGAGGCTGCAGAAGATGATGTACTAGGGAATCCAGCGCGCAGTCGATCACAGATTGATTTTTTGGCCTACTCGGACACAGCAAGCTTGGCCAACACATCAAGTTACTACGATTCTAGTTCGTTGCGCTCTCACCCGTCCGACTTTCGATCCGCTGCCGTCGCACACTCTTCCAGTTTCAAGTGGCATCGGGAGACCAATCAGGACTCGGACGAGGAGGAATTTTACTCCATTTTCAGTGGTCAGCCTCAGCGCCACGTGGCCTCACGCTTGCTCTCACGACGAGGGAGTCCCAGTGCCGAGGATTTCTCCATGCAAGCGCTTGATTCACTGCTGCGCTCGACGGGGACAGATGTAGACGAGCCCAACCCTAGCGAACGGCGCCCTGCAGTCCCTGCACGGGCACCCGTGCGTGACGCAGGCATGCGTTCAAAATCCGCCCCTAGTTCGCGACCCATATCCACGATGAGCACTGCGAGTGCAGGTGCTTTGGGTGCTGCAGCGTGGGCCTCCTCACAGGAATTAAGGGCAGATCAGCATGAAGGCGAGCTCTCCGCTTCAGCGAGCGCCGTCCCGGCTCAAGTTGAGACCGAGGCTAGGCCTGGTAATCAGGCTGAAACGTTGGCTTTGGACAACGCTTCGGCCGAAGCAGCCCCTGGTGACTTGAACGCTGATGCATCGTTGCATCAAACCTCCGTGCTCGACATGCTGGACGACATTGATGATGCTGCCACCGATTTTCTGGCCGAAGAGGAGCTCTTTGATGTCATGGAAGATCCGGCTGGTGATACGTCCACCCACTCGATTCAGGAGCAGGGAGGTCCTCCGAGCGCGGCGGAGACCACGGTTGACCTGGGCCATGACATTGACCCAGAGACGGGCAGCTCGCAATTCGGTGCATCAAGGCCAGCCTCGATGCGCCAGCCAAGTCCCCCACCGACTGCCACGCCTTCGGCCAGCCAACCGCCAACCCTGCCGAACAATCGTCATAGTTGGGCCGCTGAGTTTATCTTGCAGCAACTTGGCTGGAAGCAAGATTAGCTTGTATTAGCAGTGCGTTTCGGAGGGTGACCCCCACCCCCTTATTGTTATTTTCACAATGTCATGTTCACGTGCACAGCTACGAAAGACTACTTCATGTCAGTGAATCAACAAAGTTGGATAATTGTTAACCGGTAAATTTGGTTCTGGGCTCGATTTTCATGTGGAGTCTGGGTGTCGGTCAAACATGTTCAGGTAAACACGCCGAGGGGGCATTGAAAACAAGCCAGGTTGATTGTGAGGGCAATCAAATTATTCAGGAAAGACGTGAAACCAAAGGTCCTCTGGCAGGTCATTGGATGTTCACAGAGCAAGTGGCGTAGGGGGGCGTCGAATCGTTCAGTCATGGTCGTCGGCACACAGTTTTTGTATTTCTTCCGGATCAGTTTGTGTGATGTGATTATTGAGCAAAGTGAGTGAAATAACATCACCTCACAATTGCGGGAGAGATTGAGAGCGAGGTGTACCCTGAGGGTTTCGTGAGTAGGCTTTAAGTCAGGAACACACGCAACATGCCACCACGGCCATCTGGGCTGGCGTCTTCAAACTCGTAGCCATACGATTGCAGCCACTTGCGGACGGCTGGCAATAAGCGGGCATTCTATGATTGAGTCATCGGAAAGCAGCACGTGAGGGAACAGTTACAAAGCCAGCAGAAGAGTATTGGCGAGAACAGCAGAAAGGGCAAGCTTGGCGGTCCAATATACAGACGTGTTTGCGTGTTGACAGATGCTTGTGATTGCTGTGGTGCCCAGTGCCCGTGATGATAAAGACCTCTGTCAAGTTGGACTCTGTGGTCTTGTCGAGGAAGATGTCTAGAAGCAGGGGTAATGAACAAAGGAGGCACGTCAGATTCAGCTGGCTCCGTGACATTTGATTGAGTGGATCGCGTATGCCGTACGTACCAAAGTAAATTTCAGCTTCACGGATGTGAAGACCATGTAGATCCAGTACATTGTGATCCTTGAGCTTGTGGTTGCGCTTTGAGAACATCTCCTTGGCCGCGCGTTCATGCGCTTCTTTCATCAACTAACGTGTTGATTTGGGTTTAAACAAATAACAAAAAGCAAGCGTGAGAACAGAGAGCGACAGGCATTGAAAAAAAGCAAAATATAAAAAAAACAAAAAACAAGGCTCCAAAAGAGCGTGAAAGATGACCAGCCCGCGAAAAATAGCTCAATAGGATGGCACGGCCATGAATACGATGCAGCAATCGTACCCTGTCTTCTTCCCGTCCGCGTCGGGAGAGGTCGGTGGCAGCACGCTTGTCACCGCGCAAGAAAGCCTGAGACAACCGTGAAATCAAAAACCGTTGAGTTTGACTCGGGTGGAGCATAGTGGGCCTGGAGGAGAAGACCAGTTGCGAAACTGCGCAAACCTGAGTGGCTTGCTGCAAAAGTTTATTTCGAGCCACAGCATGCTCAATCGCTTCTGCGCGCAATTGTTCGTACTCCTTGCCGAGCTATTCGTGAGGGCGGCAAGATCAACAAATACTGGTCAGGCAAAGCCGAGTCTCGGTTGTGAGCACGAGGCGTGGGTGCGTACGCTTCGTCCGGTCTCGACCCAATCAATCTGGGGAAGGGGTCCTCGCTTGCGTTGCGAAAGTCCAGCCTTGGAGGCAGGTGTCGCACCAGTCTCCCCCTCCACCACCCTAATTGGCAGAACAACAAATATAGGTTAGGATTGTAGAGGATCGGTGTCGTGATGGTGTACCCACGGAAAGCGCACGCCTTGCCAAAAAACCGAGCTGTGACGCATCAACAACGGAAAGAGAGGAAGAGAGAGAGAGAGAAGGCGAGAGAGAGAGAGAGACAGAAAGGGGAAAGAGCGCTGCCATAAGCATACTTGGGAGCAGTTTGAAAGCGTTGCTGAAGCTGCTCACGGGTCAAAGCCGTATTGTAGCCCGTTGATGCAAATACCTGACGTCACATTTACAGTGGGATAACATTAAAGAAGATGGGGGGGGGGAGGTGCATAAAGTTAGGCTCAAGTTGCGAAATGGGGGTTTGATCTGTCTGTGGTTGGCTCGCATGCAAAACATCGCTCCGGGCCAGACCTCCATAATATCATCCTTCCAGATTGTTGGGAACTGTTGTTGAAGATGAGTAAAGCCAATCTGCTTGGCACCATCCCAGACGAGCTCGTTGGAGCCGGCTGGCTCCCAGCCAGTCACCACGTGTCCATGGCCAGCCTCGCCGTCATCGTGCAGGGAGGGGAATGCTTGCTGGTGCTCGAGTGTGCCGTACTGAACGTCAGGCGAATCGTCTTCGCGTCCGAGGACAGCTTCAACGGTCGCGCGACCGCCGGTGAGCACCGAGCGGAGCCAACTCATGTAGTTGCTCAAGGTTTCATTGGTGCGGTCGTGAAAAAAGGTGCAGGCATCACCGGCTACACACCAACCGCGTTGGAAATACTTGCAGGGCACCTCGGCTGGATCGTGTGAGTACCAGCAGTCAGCGCGACGGCATGACCCTTGCTGGAAGAATTTGCAAAGGGTGCGCCGTGCGGTGCGGCTGGGGTCCTTGCTATCAGCAGGGGCATCGTCTTCTTTGCCCAGCAGAGTGCGAAAGGCCAGGAGAAGCTTGTCCTCCTCTAGTTGACTGAGGCCGTTGAGATCACTGTCTTCTTGAGTGATGAGCAAGTCGAGAAGTTGCTCAATCAAGGGATCAAGGCCTATGCCTTGCTCTTCGGCTAGCATGTTGTAGTACTGATCCTGGTCGCCGGTCGCTTGAGCAAGAGCAAAGGCCATGTCATCATAGCCATCCAGGCCACCGCTATGAGGGTAGCCGCTTGACATGTTTGCTGCGTCGGCGGGTGTGGCATAGAATTCTTGGGCGCCTCGCGGGTCAAACTCAGCGCTTTCTTGCGGGTTGAAGGGTCCAGCAAGATGGCCATGGCCGGCCATGCCAGCGGCAAGAGGTGGGAACCCCATAGGGTCCAGGGAGGGGCTTGCCATTCCATCGTAACCGGATGTCATGGATTGGTAATCATTGCCCCCAGCAAAACCGTGATCACTGGGGTGGCCATTGCCTTCTTCTTGACGGGCTTGCTGGTAGGCAAGGAGATCAAAGCCGTTTGGAACGCCAACTTGAGCGTTCGTGCGGGATGACCGTAGGCCGGGCGGGGCATATCCCGCACCATCCTCAGGAAAAGGGTGGAGCGACCCATTTGAACCAAGCAAGGAGCCGAGTTCGTTTGGGCCGGAGAAAGGGGCTGGCTCGGCCTCATTCATGGTCACTTGGCTATCCAAAGGGCTTAGTGAAAACTGGCCAAGCATGGGTACATGCTCCATCATGCGTGGTGAGGAGAGAGGCGAAGGACCCGAGGGCATGAAGGTGGGCGCGTCAATGTTGAGCTAAAGCAATATTGGGATGCACGAGAGGCAAAGACAGTCGGGGGTTGATGGTGAGCACCGGTTGATGGGTCAAAAGAGGGCAAAAAGGAAGGCCAGAGAAACACGCGAGAGCCACTTGAAACAGGGACGAGCTCGGCCAAGATTGCATGATCAGGTCTTGAAGGTGTAGGCGGCAAGGTAGCACGGGGAAGACATACTTGAGAAGCAGCCGTATTCACTTGTCCAAGGCTGCTTGTTCGGAGCGAGCCACTAGAGGCGGGGCTGGTGGCCAAACGATAGCGCTGCTGAGCTTCGACAGCGGCGTCAAAGCTAGATTTGGCACCCGCTTCATCTGGTGGGGTATTGGTCAGCGGAGAATGGGCGGCCGAGATGGATGACCCACGGGAGCGCACGGGCTGCAGGTTGCCCTGTTGGAGGAGTTGTGGGTCGTTGTCCCAGGCGCGCAATTTGCGCTGTGAGAAGATGGCTGCCGTGGCATCACGAGCAGCTGTCTCAAAGTCGGACGGGCGATGGTCCTCCAGCACGTCGGCCAAAGCTTCTTGAACAGCCTTTTGATAAGGTTTGGGCGAGTGTGTGAGCGTGGTGTTTGGCCAAGATCGAGGGGGACATGGGATGCAGCAGGAAAGGATGGCGCACAGTCAGTGAGATGGCAAGCGGTATTGGTGAGCATGGCGTATTGGGGGAGAGGGGGGACAGGGGCGTACCTCTTGGCAGTGTTGCTCATCATTGGCGTGGTCCTCGATGAGCTGAACAATATAGGGGGCAAAGACGTCGTCGTCAGGCACGCCAGCGTCGGCGAGCAGCTTGCATAGCCAGTTGGGGGCAACAATGCTTGTGGTCATGTTGTCCCATAGTGCGGCAGCTTGGCGCTGCACAAGGTGGGTGGGGGAATCGCTTCCTTGCAAGAAGAGCCAGGCGACGTAGGGGTATGCCAGCGAGATCAAAACGCTTGAGCTCCACTTTAGGCTGTGGGACGGTTGTCGAGGCGCTGTGGGTGGGAAGGGAGGATCCGCCGACTTGTCGATCTGAGCTTAAGAGCGGTTCAGCCGGCCGAGTCCAGAGCTGTCCCGCGTCATAAATCACGGGGCAAGTAGCAGGACCTAGGCGACGAAATTGTGATTCATTGCAAACCAACGTGCTCCAGTGAGAAGGGGGGCCCTTGTACAACGATGACTACGCTGCCAAAGTCTGCACACGCAGCGAGCCGAGTGGAACGATGCTGGATAGCACGACTCGAGGTTGGCAACAAAACCTACCGCCGGCCGGAGATCAAGTCGAAAAAAAGATCCCACTGCAACGTCCAGCACGTCAGCAATGGTATCAAGGCCACGCACCGACCATACAAGCATCAGCCAGCCCAGCAAGCCAAACGGCAGCGCCACACACACACACACACACACTCGGATAAGACGAGCAAGACACAAAAACACGATGAGTGAGAAAAGAAGCAGAGAGAGAAGAGAGAAAAAAAGAGAGAGAGAGAAGAAATGAGAGATATGGAGAGAGAAATGAATGAAGTGAGAGAGAGAAAAAGAGAGAAGAGACATAGAGAGAGAGAGAAAGAGAGAAAGAGAGAGAAGAGACAGAGCAGAAAGAGACAGAAAGAGAGAGAGAGAGAGAGAGCAGAAAGAGACAGAAAGAGAGAGAGAGAGAGAGAGCAGAAAGAGACAGAAAGAGAGAGAGCAGAGAGAACCGAGAGAGGGAGTTGAGAGCATAATGGGGAGGCATGAGCAAGATGTGTGCTTCAAACACACAAGAAAGAGAGACATCAACAAAAAAAAAATCAGATAGAAAAAGTTTTCGAGCAAGTCGCAGTGTACTTGTCCGCTGAACGCGGGGTCATATGTATGGGTCACTCAAAGGCCGGCGAGCCAATTGGTCGAGGAGCATTCGCCGTACATGGCCCTGGTGTGTGTTTGAGCTGCACCGGCGATCCATCCATCATGGAGGCTGGACAGACAGGGAGGGGCTTTGAGATGTTGTTATGGCGGTTTTCATGGGCACCACCAGCCAATGAAGTACACAAGTGTGACTCAACGGTATACTATGTCTTAAATGTAATTTACATCACGCTTTGGGTACATATCGGCAAACACACGTAACGCCGGTGTGTGTAGAAATTTGGTGCTCTCACTACATTCGTTGGCTGTGACAAGCCACCGAGCAGGGTGTGCGTGCGTGCGGCCAAGTCTACCAGGTGTCGCTTGGTAGGTCGGCGCGTCGTGGGTAGCTAGTTTGTGTACCATGCGCCTGGACAGATAGGGCGGCGACGCGAGTGGCTCGCTTGAGGTGGGTGGCCATGTCGGCCGCTGGCTCTTGCGCCATGCTGCAGGCCAGCGTGCCTATAAAACAGTCACCCGCCCCGGAGGTGTCGATGGCCTCCACGGTCATGGCCGGCTCTTGTACACACGTGTCCTTTGTCATGTACAGGCACCCCTGGGAGCCCAGCGTCAACAAAACCCCTTCCGCACCCGTGTTCAGAAGATGCTGTGATGCTTGCTTGGCTTCCTGTGCATACAGAATCGCCAGGCAAGAATCAGTGGCAAAGTCAGTGTCAGTGTGTGCGTGCGAGTGCGTGCAGAGCGAGCCAAAAATTAATGCGAGACAGCGTTCTAGTATCCTGTGGCACCTAGTATACTGCGGCGTCCAAGTGTTCGGCGCCATCACACCCACCTCAAGCGTGTTGACTTCCATGCCCGTTGCTAAAGTCGTTTCGGTCTCATTGAGACAAACAATGGAGGGCAAGACAATGCAATCCGTGCTGGGACGCTCAATGCCCGGTGCAATGTTGAAAATGCTGCCAAAGTACAAAACACCACAGCTTCATCAGGTCTCGCTATGCACGCCAGTGCATGGCTGCTTAGCCCCTTGGCGCGCCTTCTCCCACACCTGCGCTTCCCCCCCAATACCTTGTCACGCCAGCCTCGCGTGCAATCCGCAACGCCGCCAGCGAAGACTCGAGAGGAATCTCGTTCTGGACCAGCAAGACCTATGATCAAGATGTGGGACGAAGGTGTTGACGTCCACGAATCAAAGCTAGTGAGACTTGGCAGCCGGCCGACCACGCCAAGGCGCTGTCGACACCAAGCGCGACCTCGCTCCTTCGAGCGTGTGCAGCGTGGTTTCACCTTGGCTGACTGGATGAGGGCCCGCGCATCGTCCACCATGGCAGGCGTTAGTTCATTGTTGGCACCAGGTACAATGATGATGCTATTTTGGCCTGCAGCATCATGTGACCAGCCGGCCAGAGGATGAGACCTGAGCCAGTGCGCCAGTGCGCCATGGCGCGACCGCCAATCTAGTCTGCTGATTCGTCTCACCTTTGCTGTCCACCATGATCGGGGCCACCCCGGTCGAGGCCGTCTCGGAGACGGAGACAAATTGTACGTCCACGCCCTGACGCTGGTAGTTCTCGATTGTCTCCTTGCCAAAGACATCACTGCCCACCCGGGACACCATAGCCGTTTGGGCGCCCAGTTTGGCGCTCATGACGCACTGGTTGGCCCCCTTCCCACCAAAACCCTGCTTAAAGTCGGTTCCATGCAGGGTCTCACCGGGACGAGGCATACGATCCATATATGCAATCAAGTCTGTGTTGGACGAGCCCACTACCACCACCTCTGCCTTTGCCTCTGCCATCGTGTCAGTCTTGTGCCAAAGAGAAGCTAAAATTTAAAAAAAAAATGGCAAGAGAGAGAGAGAGAAATTGAATTGGTTTGAGAGAGAGAGAGAGAGAGAGAGAGAGAGAGAGAGAAGAGAGAGAGAGAGAGAGAGACAGAGAGAGAGAGAGAGACAGAGAGAGAGATATGAGAGAGAGAGAGAGAGAGAGAGAGAGAGAGAGAGAGAGAGAGAGAGAGAGAGAAGAGACAAGGGAGAGCGCGCAGATGTCAGATTTTCCATTTGAATTTGGAATTTGATGGGATCGGAGGGGCGGGGAGCGGGAGGGAGAGAGGGTGTGTGTGATCGAGGCGATGGCGGGTCTGGTTGGGATCGGGCAGCGGGCCCAGAACGCTGGGCAGGCGATGTTGACGCTTGGTTTTGTGTTGGTCTCTTGCTTGACTTTGGCTAGTACAACGGCTGGATTAGCAGCAGCAGCCCCTTGTCCCAGCTCTGACGGACGCATCGTGACCCTCAACCTCACGTACATGATGGATGAGGGATATGAGCCTCATAATTACTACGAATCCATCCAGCTCCTAGCAGCGCTCCAAGGCATCGTCAACCGTGATACACCCAACCTCTTTGCCTTTCTCAATGCCGCCGATGCGGACTGGATGCCCGTGCTGTCACAGGAGGTGCGTGCTCTCACGTCAGAGTCGCGACGACCATCGAGCAAACCGAGAATCGGCCGTTCTCCCCACGCCGATCTGGCGGCCCAGCATCCTTCTCACCCGTGTAATTGCAAATTTTGTGCGTGCGTGTGTTTGAAAAAACAGTGGCTTGCAGCTTGCGAGTTTGTCGCACTGGACTCGATTGCAAGCGCGGTGGCTCATTTTAACGCTTCCATATCTGGTCTCATTGTCTACGACGCAGCGGTGGGCCCCGCCGACACTGCTCACGCCTTCTCCTGAGATGCACTCGTGCACTCATTAAAGACCAAGTGCTTGTAGGTGCCTGCAACCAGCTTGGCCGCCGCAACGCTGGCTGGCCAATTGGATGCCCTGCCCGTGGCAAACGGTAGCTCTGCCACGATGCGATGGCTTGCCACTCTGCGATCTGCGCTGCCCGTCCTCGTAGACATGACCAATCAGTTTTCCGCTTCGGGCCCCCTTCGCAGTGCTAAAGCCGAGGTGCGCGCTTCGTCCCCATGCACACAATGAGCGATCGTTGATGACTCACCCCCTCCCCTTGTCGGCTCGCCCACAAACCTCCATAATAGGTGTATGACTGGTTGGCCGGTTATATTCGTAACATCTCGGCCTCCCCACAACTCAATGCCGCCGTTCATGGCTACATGATTGACTATTACTGGACTCAGGTGGGCGGGCAGAAGAGATTGCTGCCTTTTGCTGGTCACCCCTCACCCTCCTCGAGCTGACATCCACGGGTCAAGACAGCAAGATTCTAGAATATTTGGATCTTGTACACTCATTTTTAATCCCACACACCATTGTGGGGGCCGATGTGAGACAAGTCGCACAGCTTGATGGGGGCTCATGCGGGTTATTGCCCTGGTAGGTGAGCACCAAAGCACCGCGTAGTGGGAACACCATCCCCAATCAGGATTGGGTTATTGCTCAGCGAGGCCTCTTTTGGGATCTTGACATCTGGGCCGATGAGGCCCCCAATGACGATCCCAATCAGCCCCTGGGCACGGATCATGCCATGCTCACCGAAATTCTCAATGCTTCAAACACTCGCCTGAATACGGCTCACATGATTCATGTGGTCGGCTTTGTGCCCTGGGCATTCAAGTACGTGGACAACAAGCACGGCGGTGTGCCTACCGAATGGGAGCTGGCTCAATACTTGTCGCAGTGGAATGCCTTTGTGGATGCCGATGCGTGTTGCATCGAGTCCATGAGTAATGCGGCCTTCTATCGGCATTACCCCCTGCCACGTCGCATGGCCCAGCGGCCGCCGCCCAGCCTTGCCGAAGCCGTCAGTGCGGGTTATGTCGTCCAGCAGGCAGAGACCTTCCAGGTTGTGCCGCGATTCTACATTAGCTTTTACGTGGGCGACTACGACTCGGCAGCGTGGCTCTACACTCAGGTCAAATCCAAGTGGGATCATCCTGGTCGTGGGCAGGTGCCGCTCGGGTGGGCATTCGATCCAGAACTTCAGCTTCGCTTCCCCGTGGCCTTTGACTACGTGTACAAGAGCCTCACACCCAACGATCGCATCATCACTGGCGACTCGGGCGCCGGCTACGCCAACCCCACCGGTCTCATTAGCCCCCGCCCGCTGTCCGGCTTACCAGACGGCTCATGTGTGTGGCAGCAGCATAACCAGGCCTTCTATCAGTCGCTCGATGAACGCTTCACAGGCTTTTTGCTTCAGGGCGATGAGGGGCAGTTGAGCCCAGCTGCCGAAGATATGTACAAGGCGTTCTCGCCAGAGGGGGCCGTGGCTGAATTTGGAGATGCCACTGGCGTAAGTGGCAATCACCTCAATGAGCGCCTGCCTGTCTTGGTACAGCGTGACATCCCGACGGACTCGGCGGCCGATGCCGTCGATGCTATTCTCTCCATGTACAACGCTTCCGACCCTGGGCCGCAGTACTTTGTTTTTCGTGCCGTGCTGCAGACGCCCGACTTTTACGTTGGCATTATGCAAGAGCTAGCTCGGCGCAACTCGTCAACCGTCGCCGTGGACCCTCTCATGTTGGGCCGCTTGGCCCGTCTATCACTGGGTCAAATTCTCGACGCATACCTGTACGCAGTCAGCGACTCAGTGGCCACGACATACGCGACCAGCGAGCCCATTGCCTTCAACGTGACCTTTCGCAACGATGGATGGGCAGCCCTCCCGGCCGGTTACGCCGTGTGTGCCAATTTGACGGCCGTCCCGGTTCCAGGTGATTGTGCACCCCAGCCCATTTGGGCGCAAGACTGCCAAAGCCTGCCTGCCAACCTGGCGCCAGGCAGCAGCGTGGCTTTTGACTTTCATCTCGCACAAACAGCTGCGGCGATGAATGCAACTCAGGCCATGCTTGACTTTGGCGCTCATGATGACAACCGCATGCACGTGCAGCTGATTGTACGCCTGGAGCAGTGATGTTTTGGTTGAGTGCTGCGGGTGTCGGGCGACCAGCCAAGGCATAGCCATCATATCTCTAAGGTCGTCGTGTTTGATGATGTTGGTTAAATTGCTCCCCCATGCTGAAGAATAGACGAAAAAGTTTGGCTACGCTTCTGGTCGTTGTATCTGGTGCCAGGTCACCGGTTGGCTGCGCCTGGCGGCCTGGAGAAACCATGGCGCAACTGTTTCGGCATTCCTCTACAACACAATGCCCACATCAGCAGTCAGAGAGCAAACAACAGGGAGCGATGGAAAGGCAGAAGGTACAAACACGGACTGCAAGAACAAGCAGAAAAGCAGTGACCATGATGACAAAAGCAGAGCGACCAACCTGGGCATGCATGGGGGGCGTCACTGTTACGGCTTCCTGGCCACATTGTGCATAAGCAATCTACTCACATGGACAGGACCGATATATACCAAGAACATCAAAGATTGGCGGTGGGCTCGCATTCACACTCGCACGGCTTGGCAAAGCGTTCTCGACTGTTGATCTCCACACGAGCGCACCTGCCAAGCTGTCCAGACATGTGCACCAGCTGCGGGCACCGTGGCTCCAGGCAACCGACCTTGCAGCCGCTTGGGGGCACGAAGATAGCCCCCCAAAAGTCGATGAGCCATGAACAAACGCCAAGCACAATGCATGTCATATGAGCACACTCACCATGACCTGGCAGGTCCGGCGATGGTTGTTGCGTTCACGCGAAGGAGCCACGACCACGGTGTCTGGCAGCGTGCCAGGAACAGCATCTGCAGCTCGGATGATCGCGTGGCAGGCTTGACGGCATTTGCGCACGCTGCATGAGGGCATTGTTCCGTGAATTGTTAGGGCCATCACAATATGTGGACATGAGAACATAGGGCGGCCAGAAGCTAGCAAAAAGGCCAGCCGGGGTGGCAAGCGGGGGGTCGGTGGATCCTACCGAGCACGATAGCTCACTTTGAGCACATCGTTGGCGTAGGGGTGCTTCTGCCGCGCGCTTAGTTCAGCATCAGACAAGGAAGTACCTAGAGGAGAAAAACACGGGAATGAGCCGCATGACGTTGAATGCTGGCATCGTTTGCCTTGTGCAAGCCAAGCCAAGCTTGGTTGGTTGCTTACCGTCCTCTGAGGCAGAGGCATCACCCAAAGCCCAGTCCTCGTTGCCATTGCAAGCCAAAATCATCGTCGAAGTGGATCTTGATCTCACTCGGACGGGCGACGTCAGCCGAGCGTCACTGCTCCGGCCAACCTGCCGATTCGAGTCTGGGTGCTCTGTCTCTGAGGAGCTCACAGCGTGCGTCGCAACGGCACTGCCCCGTGCCATAGCCACGAGCTGTGCCGTGCGCAGGTCCCGCAAAACGCGATTGATAATGTTCTCGGATAAGGCCGGGCCGGCATCTGCCGACGCAAGGTCCGTCGTGGCTCGAGGAGGCAATGTGCTAGATGCGTGACTATGGTCTTGACTTTGTTCACGACGGCGTCGGCGTCGGCGTCGTCGCTGCTGATGCATTGTGCATTCGGATGGGTGTAAAGGGGCATGGCGATCATGTTGTTGATTTTGGCGTTGACGACGAGGTCGTGCCGTGACCCCGGCACGGGCATTGGCCACGCTGCTCATCTCTGACGCAGGTGACTCGAGGTGCATTGACCCAGGGCTGGTGTCAGGGGTGTGGGTGTTGAGGTGCAGCGGGGGGCTGTTTGAATCGGGATCTGGGTTGGCGCCAGGACTATCTTCCGATGGACCGCCCAAGCCAACAGCAGCTAGCCGTGCTGAGCCAGGACTTTGGTTCTCTTCTTCTTCAAGACGCATGACCTGGCGGGGGCTCGGCAAGAGGGCATGTGTGGCAGCCGAATAGAAAACGACGCCTTCCACATATTCTGCATCATAGTGGTGCGCATCTGCATTTGGTACTTCTGGCATGGCTGCGGTGGTATTGGCGGGTCGCAGCATAGTCGCTCACGGGTCGGTGTGCGACTCGATATGCGCCAGAAGAGTGACGGCGGCGTTGATGGCTGGGTGGATATGGCGAGGGAGGTTGGAATGGCAAAATGCGCGATGAACCGGTACTCTTGATAGCCAGATGCCCCTGTCGATGTAGGGGTTTGCGCACTGGTTGTGGCTGGCCTGCTTGCCACCACCTCGACCGCTCGTCACCTCACCAAGCTCATCAAGCTCATCAACCCCGTTGCTCGACAAATCAGATCAAAACCGAGCTCACTTGACTGGAGCGTGCACGCATGCAACTACGAGCCATTAGTGCTGACATTTCGAGGCAAATAGTCACAACTGGTAGCATGTCAGACAAAAAGAAGGCTATGACTGGCGCGGGGTTTTTGTTGGTTGTATGATACAAAATATTGACTGAGTTTTTGTTCGGTGTTGCCGAGTCGTCCAACAGCGCACCTCTCGTCGCCGGCTGACTGACTGTGACTAACTGATTTGACTTTTCCGCTCGACCGCCGTCTTGAAACCGCACGTCGCAGGGCCGATCAGGTTGGTGCGCTCCTAACCTGCACGCCAAAGTTTGGAGGCGGCGGGAATGCTCGGTGGTTTGCGGGGTGGGGGGGGGGAAGGGGTTCTTGAAGGGATCTGGGGGGTTGCTGTCTGGGCTGGTTATGGCAATCGTGTCGGGTGCAGTGGCACGCAGTGCTCCAGTGGCCCTTTTGGCATCGTGGTTGGAATGGGTGATGCATTGTCGAGCCATTGGCGGGTTCTGCTTCTGTGAAGCAGAGGCCCACCGCTTCTTGAGCCGCCTCATGGCTCGATGTTTGAATGAATGACAGGTGTTCTATCGCCGTTTGCTGAAAGACCGGTCGCCATGGCGCACCGCGATAAGAAGGACGAAGAGGATGGTGAGCCTTGATGTCTTGATACGATTTCTTGCCAGCGCAGCTCTTTTTTTCAAGTTTCTCACCACCAATCCATTGCTCCGGCTGGTGATTGGGATCCTTCTCTTTCTTCAGGCTTGGTCAATCCCTTTCTCGGCCTCGAGAAGAGCACCGTGCTTCAGGAGGCCCGCGCTTTCAATGAGATGCCCATTCGAGTGTCCAAGTGCCTGATGATTCTCACCAAGCTACTCTTCTTGATCCATCAGGTATCTTGCATCTGCCTTCCTGGTCATTGGCGACTCGAATGGTTTTTGAGCCAATCTTTAGAGCAGAGCGCCCGCGCCCTCCACCAATCGCGTGCAGGCAGGAAGCAGCCCAGCGCCCGACCTCACAGTACGCCTGGGTTCATTTCCTTTTCCCTTGCAGGGCGATACACTGGGCACGCGTGAGGCCACGGAAACCTTCTTCTCCATGACCAAGCTGTTCCAGTGCCCTGATGTGCGGCTGCGCCGCATGGTCTACTTGACTATCAAGGCCATGTCCACCATTTCTGAGGACGTCATCATGGTCACCAGCAGTCTGATGAAGGACATGACGGCCCGCGACGATACGTACCGTGGTGCCGCTATCCGTGCCCTCTGCACCATCACGGATGTACGTGCCCCTCGCAGACTTTTGAAACAATCTTAGCAGCTCGGTCCCAGATCTCGAGGCCTCACGTGGCTGAGTACCTGGTCATTTTTTTTCCATGTTTCTCACGGTTTGTCATGTGCATGGCGCATCCTGTGGACAGAACACAACCCTTCAAAGCCTTGAGCGTTTCCTGAAGCAGGCTATTGTGGACCGCAACCCATCAGTGTCCAGTGGAGCGCTCGTTTCCTCCCTTCACCTGCTTAACAAGGGCCACGACGTGGTCAAGCGTTGGGTCAACGAAGTGCAGCAAGCGGCCAGCAACAACTCTGCTATGTCCCAGTATCACGCACTGGGTCTGCTCTACCATATCAAGGCCAAAGATCGTCTGGCCGTGCAAAAGCTTGTGGCCACGCAGATCAAAAAGCATCTCTCGTCGCCCTTTGCTACCTGTCAGTTGATTCGCTATTCCCTCAAGGTGATTGAGGCAGATCCGGATGCAAACCACGATGACCTGCATGACTTTCTCGAGTCATGCCTGCGTAACAAGAGCGAGATGGTGGTGTATGAGGCAGCTCGCGCCATTGTGAATCTGAAGAACGTGACTGCTCGCCAGCTGGCACCGGCTGTGTCAGTCCTGCAGCTCTTCCTCAGCTCGCCCCGCCCAGTCCTGCGCTTCGCCGCCGTGCGCTCCCTGAACAAGGTTTCCATCAGCCATCCCAACGCGGTCAAGACCTGTGTCTTGGACATGGAAAACCTCATTACCGACTCAAACCGCTCAGTTGCCACTTTGGCCATCACTACGCTGCTCAAGGTAATCCCTCTCTGTCTCTTTTTTTCTCTCTCAATCTATCGTTCATCTGGACACCTTCTTCCTGAGTCGGGGTCATGGTGTTGTGTCGCTCTGCTATGCTGCCGCTGACTCTGTGATTGATTGTTCTTGCTCGGTGGTTGCTCATTCGTTCGGCTGCACTATGTTTGGACACTGCGACCCCCTGTGCTGACCTAGATCGGCAACGAGGCAAGCGTTGATCGTCTCATGAAGCAAATCACCTCTTTCATGAACGAGATTAGCGACGAGTTTAAGATTGTCGTGGTTGAGGCCATTCGCTCCCTCTGTCTCAAGTACCCGCAAAAGTATCCCGTCATGATGAGCTTCCTTGCTGGTGCTCTGCGCGACGAGGGCGGCTATGATTATAAAAAGGCCATTGTTGCGGCCATCAGTGGCATTATCGAGCACATTCCCGAGGCCAAGGAGGCCGGTCTGGCTCAGCTCTGCGAGTACATTGAGGACTGCGAACACTCTGCCCTCTTGACAACCATCTTGCACATGCTGGGCGAGCGTGGCCCTTCGACGCCGTCGCCTTCCAAGTACATCCGCTTCATCTATAACCGACTCATCCTTGAGAGCTCGATCGTTCGCGCGGCGGCCGTCGATGCTCTGTCCAAGTTTGGCTCTCACTGCGAGTCTCTTCGCCCCTCTATCATTGTGCTCTTGCGACGGTATGTACGGCGTCTTCATCAAACTTGAAGAAGGGTTGCTGGGCCAGGCCCAAGTCCATGTAAACTCTGTCGATGGCTGTGTTCGAGGCAGGCAGGGGGCGAGGTGCTTCCAATCATCATCTTGATTATCCTCTCTGAGAAAAACATGAAAGAACTCAAAGCCCGTGGTTGACAGTCGTCTATGAGCCAGTCATTGCAAACAGATTGCACCGTTTCCGTTCACCTCTTCATCCTGATCCGCCCTCTTCATAGCTGCCTCATGGACACGGACGATGAAGTGCGCGATCGCGTGACCTTGGCTTTGACGTTGCTCGAGGGCAACGAGGGCGCCGCTTTCATGAACCGTACGTTGCAGAGACTGGGCCGCCCCGAGGCTGCAGTGCACTGTGAGGCTGTGATGTACACAGATGTGATTTTCACCATGCCTTGCTCTGCCCTTCATGTACAGAACTGCCGTTGTCGCTCTCCTCCCTGGAGCGTGCACTCAAGGAATACGTGGCCGAGCCGCGTGATCAGCCCTTTGACATTAATGCCGTTCCTGTCGAGGTGGACACCACGGAGAAATCAGCCCTTGATGACATGTTTGACCCCGTTGAACGTGAGTGGCCTGGCCCTTTTGAGCAAGATAATTGGTTGTCGTCCGCTTGCTTTCTGAACTGGCTCACTCATCATGACCAAAACTTTTGCTTTCGTTTAGCCGAGCTTGCTGCTTCTACCAACAGCAACGCACAGGAGCAGCGGGCAGAGAACGAGGCGCGTTTGGCCGCAGTGCCGGAGCTTGCGCAGCTCAACCTCGGCCCACTCTTCAAGTCGTCGCCTCCCACCCAACTTACAGAGGCCGAGACCGAATATGTGGTCAAGGCGTACAAACACGTTTACCAGTCGCACGTGGTATTCGAGTTCAACATTACCAATACGCTCAATGATCAGATCTTGGAGCAATGCACCGTAATTATGGAGGGTGGCGAACAAGAGATTGACGAGGATGATGTGGTAATTGTGCCGGCGCCCAAGGTGATGTACGACAAGCCCGCGAGTGCATACGTTGCCTTCCCCTTGGATGCTAGCATTGCATCTCAGACCTTTGAGACAACGCTGGACTTTGTGGTCAAGGATTGTGATCCCGAGACCGGCGAGGAGGATCCCGAGGGCTACCCCGACAAGTATGAGCTGGAGGAGATTGAGCTCGGCTTTGCCGACTACGTGTCACCTGTCACTCGTCCCAATTTCGCCCAGGCCTGGCAGGCTCTTGAAGACAAGGGCGGCGAGTCAGAGGACGTTTTTGAGCTCACTAGCATGACAAACCTGCAAGAGGCCGTGGATCAGGTGCTCAAGCTCCTGGGTCTCAGCGCGTGCGAGCGCTCCTCAACCGTCAAGGAGGGCAAGAACCGTCACGAACTCTTTATGGCTGGCATGTATGTGGGCGGTCAGGAGGTTTTGGCACGGGCGCGCCTGGCCTTTGATGAGCATGTCTCCATGAATCTTTGCGTGCGTGCTCCCTCGGAGGAGCTGTCCCAGCTGGTGCTCTCGTGCATTGAGTAAGGCGGGCCCTTGCCTGCGTGCGCGCACAAGCGCGTCTTCCTTTTGTTCTTGCGTTTAGATGGATCCACTGTGTGAAGAGCTGCACCGAGCGCGCCCAGTTCAGATTTGCATCATCCTCTCTTTAGGATCCGTTCTTGTTCCCTGTGGCCACTGGGCTTGATGTGGCTGAGAAATCGAATTTCATCTTTCATAGCATGTGCCAACGTTGATCGGAGCATTCTTTCCCCGGGTGCTGAAACAGTCGGTGTTTCACAAGTCGATCAATTTCAACATTGCACAAATAGACAGGGTGGAGTGCCTTTGCTTGCAAGGCCGCTGTCCGTTGCGTTGAGTTGGCGTCCACGAGCCACATGCGCTCAGCGGCAAGAGCGATTCAAGCGAAAAGATGCGTACAGAGTCACCTCTATTCCAACAAATTGTTTCGATGGCACACCATGACGAGGGTGGGCTCTGGGTTGTGCACAAGCCGGCCTTGCACTTCAAGCACTACTCAGATGAATCATCTGGGCCGTGTCAAAGATCATGGTTCGCAGCCTAATTGACAGAGAGCAAGTATGTTGCATGAATAGTGGCGGAAGCACCCAGGTGCGCGCTATGCACGGGATCAAGGGAGCTCGTGCTGCTTGAACAGCACCCCATCTGCGCAGGTGCGCAAGTGCTTACTGATCAACCGGCAATGCCTCAATCTCAGCTTCGAAAGTAAAAGGCTCCTCAGCCTCGGGCTCATCAAGAGGATCGTGGTATTCTTCAAAATAATCGTGTTCGAGGGCGTCGGCGGCGGTGATGCGCTTGCTGGGGTTGAACTCCAGCAGCTGACCAAGCAGTGAGATGGCCGCTTCCGAGGCATCTGGGTACAACTCGGAATAGGGGACCGGATCACGCTGAGGTAGGCTGGCCACGTAGCGCCGGGACTTTTCATTGGGAATGGCGCGCAAGTCCTCGCTTGAGGGGGACCCGACAATCTCAAGGATGCGATTGAGCTGATCGACATAGTTTTTGCTAGCAGATGACCAATACGCAAGCGAACCAGCGCCCATGGTTGCGTGAGAAGAAGGCCGAAAGGGTTCATTCACAACGGCTGGCTGTTCAGACTACAACAGTCTGGGTTTGCAAGAAAAGCGGAAGCAGATGCAACCCTGTACGAACCCAGGGAAGAGGGGGCGATTATTCAGCATTTCAGCAAAAATACAGCCGACCGACCACATGTCGAGGGCCCGCGTGTAGGCCTTGGCAGAAACCATGACCTGGGATCCAGCGGCATAATGAGAGGCAGGCGTGGCATTTGGGGCGATGCCAGGAAGGGCCAATGTCAAGGCGGTTGCATCGTTATCAAACAGACCTCTGGCGCACGGTACCAGCGCGTAGCGACATACTCTGTGGTCATGCAAAGTGCCAGCATTGGTTAGTGGAGGCCAGCGTCAATGGGGTGGCGCGTCAGAATGGGGTGGCAAGTTGAGGTGCTTACCCGTGAGCATGCCACTGTAGTCAATGTGGTCATCCATAACGCGGGCTAGGCCAAAGTCGCAAAGCTACAGACACATTGCCAGCGCGATCAGACGGCTGACCCTGGGTGGTTTTAAAAAAAAGTCAGACTGAGGAGGGCGAGTTGGCGCCAAGACGCAAGGTGTGAGCGGTAGAACCTTAAGATCACAATTGGTCAGATTGATGAGGAGGTTGGCCGGCTTCAGGTCTCGATGCAGCACATTGGCGGAATGCATGTATTTGACGGCCAGCATGATCTGATACATGAAGAAGCATCTGCCAGAAAGGGGCGACCACATCAGAACGCGTCACGAGCAGGATCCCTCCCAGGCAAAGGCAAACATGGCTCAATTGTTGGAAGCAGGTCGCTGGCAATGCGCAAGTCACATGCACGCATGGTACACCGTCTGCACATGCCAGTCGCCAAGGGTGAATAAAGACGCACGTGTGGGTTGCCGACAGCTTTTCACCGCGTTGGCGAAGGGACTTGAGCAAGCGGTGCAGATCTGTTTCCATGAGATCAAGGACCAAGTAGACCTGGGAGGGTGCGTCCAGGAGAGCACCATTAATTTTAGCCCCCCAAAACAGAACAGGACGGGTGCTTAGCCTCGTCTCGGCAAGCACAGCTGCTTTGACGAACGGATGCCTCGCATGTGTACCTCATTCATGTCCTCGAGGGTGGGTGGGACGAGCATGTTGCGAAGGCAAATGATGTTTTCATGTCGCAGCTTGGCCAAAATCTTGATCTCGCGCAGCGTGCGCTGGCAAAAGGTTGGATGCGTCAAAGGGCTCACCTATTTTCATGCCGTCGACATGAGGAGAATGCGCGTGCTGACCTCGCAAGCAGTCAGGGTGCAAGAGAGCTGGAAATTGAAAATCATTACCTTCTTGATGGCCACACGCAAATTCGTTGTGGTGTCCAAGGCAGCCACAACCATGCCATAGGCACCTAGGATTTGAACCATGGTCAAGATTGAGAACCATTCAGTGTGTGTGTGTGTGTGTGTGTGTGTGTGTGTGTGTGTGTGTGTGTGTGTGTGGCCGATGAACGTGGGCTGCTGGTAGCGTGGGCCAATGTGCAAGGTGCGGCCGGCGATGCTCACGGGCTCCATGGTGCCGCATGTGCGTTTGCCCAAAGGGGGGGGGGGGGGGGGGGGCCTGCTGGATCACGGTGACAGCAAACGCGGCAGATCCGATCAATCACTGCGACCACAGACCCAAGAGGCAACAGCCCGAGGGGACGGGTACGAGTGCACCTTTTTCTTGGTTCGAAGACGCTCAAGGGCACTCGTTGACAGACCTCCCTGGTCAAGGAAAACTGTGACGACAGAAAGAGAGAGAAAGGGAGAGGAGGGAGGAGGGTGGAGGGAGGAGGGAGGGAGAGCGCTGCCGTCTGACTCGGCGGTCGGTTCAAGTGGTACAAGCAAAATAACAAAAGAACGCCCCCGATCTCTGCAGAGACTGGGGAACTCGAGTTTGGAAAAGTATTTTATTTCTGTTGATCTCTCGATTTTTTTTTCTTTTTTGCTGTTTGATGATGAAAGCATGTGATCTGGTTTCGGCTACTTGGCGTTGTAGAGCTTGACGCCTTTGCGCGTAAACAGGCGTGCATGCTGGAGTAGCATTTGCTCCACAGTTTGGTACTTGGTTGAAAGTGGTCTGTCGATCGAGGAGGACAGCAAAGATATCAGGAGAACATCGTGCACAGAGCGAGGGGAAAGAAAAAAAGAACCCAGGAGGGAAGAAAGGAAAGGTATGCGCGTGTGTGCGCGCGTGTGTGTGTGTGTGTGGATCCCTTGAATCAAAGAAATTGAGCGATCGGTGAGGTGTACGAACGTGAGATAGGGGCGAATTTCAGCGTCTGTCCAAATGGGTTGTTGGCGAAACAAGGCTTGGAAACGAGCTTTGACTTGCTGGGGCAGCTCGGATTCTGCATGACAGGTACGACCCAATGGCATCAAGGTGTGCATAAATCACGCGCCATCGACAGCCAAGATGCTGTTCGGAGGGCACAGGGGAGGAAGAAGACGCTCATCAGGGAAGGCTCCTGTTCAAACATACCTGGAAAGTATGTAATAATGCGGTTGTCCTCGTCTCCAGTTGTGACGGCCCGCTCGGAGACGAGCGCCAAGCCCTACACAAATGCGCACATGCACACGCGCATGCGCCGCATTCGGTCAGCACTTGACCAGTTCAGAATGGGGATACTCAGCACCGCACTGGTGCCATGAACAAGCGAGGTTTGCGTTGTGCCGCGCACCCCAAGCATGGATACATCCACGGGACATTCATCCCCAGCCAGGTTTTGCCAAGTATTGAGGAAGGATGAGAGTTGCCAGTCCTATGACCGCCCCGAACACAAGGTGCAGATCAAATTGCGAAAAGCTGCAGGCTGACCTCGATCGTGGACGCAACTGAGAAGAACAAACAGGCCTTACCGGGTTGTCGGTCGCGACGAAAATTTCAATGGCACGGGTGCGACAGACTTTGATTGGATCCACTTTGAAAAGACCATCACCTGTGCTCGAGCCGCGGAAGGTTGAGAAAGCGCGCAAGGATACGTTTGGCCACTTTGGGCGCAGCGGGGGCCTTACCGAGATCTTCGCCATGAGCATGAAGGACACCGCGCACGGCAAAGTGAGGAACGTCAAACTCGACAAGCTTGCCGGCTACCACATTCAAAGGTAGCTGTGTCAACTCCAAATCCTTTGTTTAAAAGTAACCAGGGACAAACGCATACAGATGAGCAGTGCATTGACAAGAGACCCGACAACAAGGGGGGGGGGCATGTAAGGCAGGTTGCAGTCAATAGACTGACCTCGGCTGCGGCAGTCGTGAGGATGTGGTCCAACACCTCGCGGGCATAAGAAGGTTCGAGGAGGAATGCACGTCCTATGCATGGTGACATAGGGCGGCGTGAGGTGGTGGCGTGTGCGTGGTCAGTTCAGCGCGAGCAGGTCCACACGCACCATCGTGCTCAACAACGTCATGAAGTCGGAGAAGCTGATCAATTTCTGTTGCACTGGCGAGTAGACTTTGGCGAAGCGCCGCACTTGATATCTAGAGAAGCCATTCAAGAGAGCAGTCGTCCAGTTGGGCATCAGGCCCAAGATCAATCGTGAAGAAACAAGCCCCTCCTCCCTCATCTACAGGTACATACCCCAATGGATGCAAGGTCTGCTGTGGGGCCGGTATAGGGTTGAGGACGTAGCAATCGCATGAGCTGCTCCGAACTGGGGGCAGTGCGGTGAAGCTACAATTGCCAAATGTGCGGAAATCAACAAGCAATTTGCCGGGCTGCATCTGAGAGTTGTGGCGAGGCAGAGCACCAAAGCCATCGGGCGACACGTGTCCATGCCATTGGTACGGCGCTTGTCCGTCATGCGAAACACGCACGACATGAAGCTTACTTCAAAATAGCTAGACACGTTGCCACGAATGTGACGAGGCTCATCAGAGAAGACGAGGGGGTCCTTCGTTCCCTGGTTGGCAGTAAAAGAAAGGGGGAGATCAGCTGCAAGAGAAGCCATCTGGCTGGGTCGAAGCCAAGAGCACTGTCAGGCTTGTGGCATGACGGTCGGCGGTACCTCTTCGGGCTGTACAAAATAGTGAGCATCCGTGACGTCGGCGATTTTGATCGTGTAGGTGGCATCGGTGCTGCACAAGACGGCGCCTGCGTTCTCGGTCCCAGCCTTGATCTCCAGCCTAAGAAAGACCACGGGTTGTCAAGGCAGCAAGCATTGCAAGCAGGATCAGTCCAAGGGGGCAAAGCCAAGCGCAAAAAGGCCTGAGCTGGTTTGGTCGGATCCCCGTCCGAGCTGTACGTACGGGGCACCCGCGTCAATCTGTTGGGCCAGATGGTCATCGAGCTGCCAGAGGGAGATGTCATTGGCGCCAAAGGTCTCGCCAAACACCAAGGGCGTGACCAGGCGCGACGGAGCGGCCGCTGGAGCCTCAGCCATCGCACGTGGTCTCACTCAAGAAAAAGTAGCGCTGCAAAAAGGACCACCACAAATACGACAAATCAAAGCCCGCCCGTTCCAACTCTTCTTCCCACACCACCCGGTCACACGCTGCTGCGCCAGCGCCAGTCGCGTTTTTTTTTTCTTTTGTAACGGTCGAGAAGATGAAGCAAAATTGCTGACAACAAGTGAGAAATAAAGAGCAAAGACACAAGGGAGAAGAGAGAGAGAGAGAGAAATAAAGCGCTACATGTACACGACGAAACAGCGTCAAGCTGAATTAAGAGAGAGAGAGAGAGAGAGAGAGAGAGAAATGAGAGAGAGAGACAGAGTATTTTACAAGTTCAAGGTCTCCAGCTGCGCGGGGCGGAAGCTCTGGATGGTGTGCACTTGGTTTGGTGTTGCGGGTGTTCTGATTGACGGTTATCGGGGTCTGTTGTTCGAGACAGCTAGACGAGGTGGCTGAACCGGATTGGCTAACATGAGCAGCGCCACGGCCGTTGCCTCGTTTGAGGTGGAGGCCAGTTACTGGCTGGGCTATCTGCGCGGAGGCTGGGCTCGTCGTTGCTTGGTCGTTGATCGAATGTACCTGCACGTGAAGGAGTCCTTTGCCACACTGGCGGATGAAGAGCTGCTTCTTCTGGGTCAGCTCACTCACGTACAGACCTACAACAAGGAAGAGCGCTTTGGTGCCTCCTTTTCAAGTCCCGCGGGCAGCCACTACATTTTGTTTGATGATCAGGCCACGCAGCTTCGCTGGCTCGTCATCCTCCGAGGTTTGTAGCCAGTCGCTTGTTCCAAAGGACCTTCCTTGCCGCTTGTTCATGCCATCTGTTTTCTTTTGCACCGTTTGATTAACAGGTGGATTGCCGCCAGCAAATGCCGAGAGTACCCCTGTGGACCGCCTGCCCAGCTATCGCTCGGCAACCACAAATACAAAGGCTACATAGCCCGTCGTCCTAATGACTTATGTGAAACCTCATTGTATACATCTGATGTAGCTGAAAGCATTATACCTCTGGGTATTAATTGATCCCGTCGACACTGCTTACCCTCGTTTGTGGTCGCACATTCTTTGCAAAAAGCACATCGAAAAGTGGCTGTGAGGACACCAGACCGACCGCGCAGAAAATTTGGAAACGCGTATCAGCGAAATGTCAATCAGAGCAAGACATGGGCTAGACAGGAGTTTTGGGGGTATTTGGTGGCATTTCGAGGCATAGAGCGCTCTCCACAGAGAAACCCCTTAGAGAAGGTAGGACACAAAGCCGGCCAGGAAGCCAACCACCACTGAAACGCCCACCACGTTACGGCGCTGTTGGCTAATGTCCTTCAGGTTGGACTTGGTCGCCTTGTACAGGTCCTTCAAGCGCAACTTCTTTTGCGTCCAACTATAGGCGCAACACGATTGTCCAAAATGTAACCACGGTAAGAGAACGAACGGAAGGCGGCAGAGGGGCTGTGGTGCACCGGGGGCCAACTCCAGTAATCAGACCACGGGCAGGAGCTAAAGGATTGGAAAAAAAATCCAAAGATCCGATATCGTCCCCTCTCAAAAAAATCCAAACACGTACAAGTCATCGAATTCAAAGGGGACGCCCATCTCGGCAATCACCGGGAAGTCGACCTCAAGCTCGCTCTTGGCGGCATAGTGTCTGTTGCAGCAGGAGGCACGCCGACAGATCAGATCAAACACCTGTGCAATGAGTCAAGACAATGTCCAGCCACAACCCCTCCAAAAAAACATACTCATCAAAAGCCACTAGAAGGTCCTCGGCGTTGCGGCTTGGAACCTTGATCTCAGACACCTGGCCTTTGTGCAGCATGTACCAGCGTGGCACGCCAGGGCCATTGGGCGACGCCTTGTGGAACTCACGAAGAGGCTTGTTGTGCTTGGCAGCCATGTCCACGCGCGCCATATCGTATGTTTTGCTGCGAAGCTAACGCAGTGCCCCTTGAGTGAGAGCTCGCTTGCCGCACATATCGCTCAAACGCTGGGTCAAGGATGGCTGTTTGCTTACCGCGGCCAGCGCGGCTGCATGATAATAGCTGGGCATGGCCGACTTGCAAAATCGGCACACGTTGGTGTCTAAGAAACATGGCACATGATTTAGGTCACGTCACGTCACAGCAAAAGGCGGGTTGAAAGCCGCAATCGATAGGGCTCAGCGGACCACGCTGGCGCGAAGAAGCGGGGAGGTTGGAAAACGAGGGGATAGCACGTACACATCATCAAGACCGTGGCCTTGTCAGAGTTGGCTACATCATTGGCGTTGGCGCTGGTCACCTCCGTCACCAAGAGGCCCTGGCCTTCAAAGAAGAAAAAGGGAAGGTAGGCCACCAGGGCCAGAATCACTAGCTTGCCCAACATGGTTCTCAAGTACACGGCCAGCAGAACAGGGCACCCTACGATCAAGCACACAACCCTATGAGTCTAGTCACAGCACCCGTGCCCCTCTCTGTCTCATTTTCATTCGGCCATCAACAGGCCAAGCGCCAAAATCTGCCGGTCGGCAACCCGAAGACGGGCTCAAGCCCAAGACAACAAGGCAGGGGCGGTCGGTCGACCGCCAGCGCCAGCGCCAGCGCGGGATGAGGCGGGGACGGGGACGGGGGGGGGCGGCAACTCACTGACCCTTTCGATTGAATTAAAAAGTTAAAAAACAAGGGGGCTGTGGATCTGATCAAAGTAAAGATGTCGAAGGTGTCGAAGATGTTGAGGATGTTGAAGATGCTGTGCCCCGTTGTTGGGCGTTAAGCTTGTACTTATGACCGAGTTATTGTTGGTGTAAGTGTATTTATTGCAGCGTGCTCGTTCGCCTGCTTGCTGGCTCACTCGGTACGGGTGTTTGAGGTGATTTGGCAGCGGAATGGGTACGATGGAGGGCTCATCAGCTCGAGCACCGTGGATCCTGGCTGTGCTGGCACTGGTGGTCGTCGTGGCTAGGGGTATTTCCGTTCAGGTACCCAAATCGGGGGGGAGTGCTGCATGGACGGTCATCCCGCACAAGGACATTGCCAACAACAGCTACACCCTCTACCGGGCTGTCACCAACTGCGGCGAGGTGCAGCAGTTGCCCCCGTGCAATACCACCGCCCTTCGTGCTATTTGTGAGAGTACCCCAGAATGCCTGGCTTTCAACACCAACGGCTATCTCAAGTCGACCGCCAGCACGGCACACATGGTTGACGCCAAATCAGACACCTGGGTGATGGCTGGGGGCAAGCCTCCAGTCACGCCCATCCACCTGCCCTACGAGATTCCCCCGCAGAAGGACCTGCACTACTCTGAGGGCCTTCGGAATGCATCGGCACAAGGTCCACCCAGTCTCCCCGCACTGCTCCAGGACGGGCAAGCCCCAATTGCCACCTGGGCTCGGCTACAGTGGAAGGGCTCCACGATCAATGCCAGTGTCGAGCAGATGGTCTTTGATCGCTGGCAGTTTCGCGGTCTTGCACCGGGCACGTTGCTGAGTCCCGACGCGCCCCTGGTTGCCGTACTGGAGTACCAAACAGACCAATGGGGCTACCTGGCCTTTGTCACCTCCGATCCATCTCAAGCTCTCGTGTTGCGACAGACAGTTGGTCGTCTCTCAGACATTCAACAGGCCGTCTACACCATGGATGAGGTAAATCGGGCCCCGGTGCCTCATCGCTCCGCTCCCAGTCCTGCGAGGCATGCAGGCGGGCAGGTCATGCTTGTCGGCACAGCGGTTCCACTCCCGCTCCCTCGATTGTTTCGTTTTGGCTGATGGCTCATGCATCCATGTCAACCCGTCTTGGCGCCGCCTTTTCTCCCTCGGCACCAGATGTATTACGATCTGCTCAGTGGCAGTCTCACGGATCTGGTGGCCACGGACATTCTCGCCAAGACGTCAGAGCCCACCTCGGAGGAATTGCTCAAATACATGACCCCCACCCCCGATTACGGCCTCCTGGGCACTGTCAAGAGCACCATGAAGTGGACGACCGCCATTGTTGGGCGTATCAAGCGCGCCGATGACTATCTCATGGAATTTCCTGCCAACCTCAGCTTCCCCTCACCAGGTAAGAACGGGCTCCAGGCCAGCAATCGAGGTGCTTCCTCGCCCATGTTCGACCAAGTCAAATCAGGAGAGAGCTGAATCCCTGCCCTCGCCCGTACCCATCCTCGGTCTGGTGTAATCCTTGCCTCCGCCCCTCGCAGGTTCGGTGGTATTTGATCCCCTAACGCATCTCAAGAGTCGCCCTCAAAATTACTCTGTCGTCAAAAACGGGCTGTTTGGGGGCTATTACCGCGTCGTCATGACCAGTGCCCGTAACCCTAACACGCCACAAGGCTTTGAGCAAGTGGCCTTTGCCGCGGATCTAGCAGACAGAAGCACACAACTTTTTATTCGCCTCTACGATATGGAAACTGACGCGACCACTTACTACCAGCAATCGGGAAACGTCAGTGATGCCCCGCAACCCATTCCGGCGAGCCTCTTCTACCAGTACCTGCTTGTCTACCATGCGAGCTTGCAAGCCACACTGGCCACCAAGCGCCCGATGGCCGTGACCTTGCCATCGACTGAGCTGCGGCAAATGGACATGGCCATGGGAGCCCTGGTTGAGGGCCTGACGGTTTTTCTTGACCTGTTGCCCAATTACGGGACTGGCTTTGACTACTGGAGCGTGCGTGTGGACCGTGGCTCGGGTCTGCCGCTGACGTCTTTTGCTGTTGACAACGCCCTCAGCGAGTGGGGCTTTCCCGCCCTTGCCGAAGCTCGCGTACAGTATTATATGCAAACCTTTGTGCGCCCCGACGGCACTATCAACCTCTACAACTGGTCTCAGCCGCCGTGCCCCATGCCTGAATCACCAACCGGTCAGTTCAACGATGGCTTGGCCGACTACGGTCGCCTCCTGGATCTCTACACGACTACGGCCCTCCTCTCACAGAACATGGATTGGGCCAAGACCAACCTACCGAACATCACGCACGTGGCCGACTACATACTCAGGCTACAGAACACCACCTCCAACGTCACCGATCCCAGCGATTGGCGCTTTGGCCTCATTTATGGGTCAGCTGAGCACGACACCTGCCAGGATCAAGACTTTTACGTCGATGTGCAAGCTTGGTCCTGGCGAGGTTTGTTGGAATTTGGCAATTTCCTCAACCAGACTGGGCTGGGGGATGGGCAGCCTTATCTAGCCGCTGCACACCTCATGCAAACCAAGCTGTTTGCACGACTGCCCAACGTCACCGTCTTTGATGAACAAGGCAAGCCCGTCTTTGTCAGCGCCAAGCTGCTCAACACCGACCAACCATATCGGTCTATGGTTGAGAGCCGTGAGGCCGAGTACGCAAATTTTCGCTATTGGCCGGAGACGGTTCTCGCCGGGGCTCTACCCGACGGTTACGACGAAGCCATGCTGGCCTACCGAGACACGCACATGGGCATCATCAGCGGCATGTCGCGCTGGTCCGATCACTTGGACGACATGCCCAGCCTTGGCTATGGCTACGGACACTTGCGCTACAACCGCCTCCCCGAGTTCCACATGCTTCACTATGGGCACATGGCCAATTACATGTCTCCAGGCGTCTTTTCGTCCACCGAACAACTCAGCATCTACGGCGCCGATCGGTTCCGCACCTATGTGACCCCAGAGGTCGGCTCTGAGCGAGATCTAGACTTTTGCGTCGTCAGCGCCAGCCTCCCTGCGTTTTTCACAAAGTGGCAACTGGTGTTTGCACCTCGGGATCTGAACCAGGTCGAGTTGGCCAAGGCAGCCCCACAGCGCTGGTACGACGCGGGCAGCTTCGGCGTGTCTGCTGCTCGCACACGCTGGGGCGTCATATCCTTCTCGGTCGAGGCCACGCACGATGCAACACAGCTTCAACTCACCTTTGAGCCCAGCACCCTGGTGAATCAAAAGTGTCCGTCGATTGTGGCCAGCGCCAAACTTCTGAGTGACCTCGGTGCTTGGCAAACCGTGGTTGTGGACGGGCCCATGGTTGTCACGGATACTGACACCACCTTGGGCACGGCCACCCTCGAGTTCACAACGTGTGCCAATGCCATAAATGCCACTGTTTACTTCAAGCCAACCAGGGGGGCATAGGACTCGAAATACCGGACTAGGGCATGCATGCCACGGCGCGCCCGGGCCGGCTCGTGAAACGTTTTGTACCCATTATCGTGAAGAAAATCAAACTAAAATGTCAAGGTCGTTTAAATTATCTTCAATCTGAGTAGTGCAAGATGGGAGGGATTTCAGGTGACAATACCTATGCTACTGCTGGGACTGGAAGCAGACTTTGTGATGTTGAAGCAGAAGAGAAAGGAGAGGATAAAAAGAATACAAATCCCAGAAGCAGCATGACGGGCATATAGGACAGTGCAAGCTCAACCCAATTTATGTTCATGCGCGGAACTGATGAGGTCGCGCAAAGGAATCTCGACAAGGTCTGAGTTGGGCAGGGATGTGTTTTTCACCAGGTTCAGCAAGGCATCGTCGCTTGCCGTCCTGCTCGCAAAGAAAAACACACAGCATCGTTGCACCACAATGAGCATGCAGTCAAAGGTAAATCAACAAAAGTCCGCCGTGCCACATGCCCCTCACGAAAAATGAACGAGCTTCCCTTACCGTTGACTGCCGTGATTAAGCGCACTCTGCTGTTGTTGATTGTACAGGAAAAGCAGAAGAGACACCACCGCGGTATACTGCTCTTGCTTGGGGTCTGTACTACCCTGCGAAAAGCTAATAGCACATAGGGTTAGGTCACACGAGAGTGAAGGATACGCAGCTGTGACCATGCCTCGAAAAGTAAAGAGGGCAGGAAAGCATGCAAAGCCTAAACCTACTCGCTGACTTCAACCTGCAGTGAATAACGGCCCACATAGGGGCCCATCTTGCGCTGAAGCAAAAGGCTACGACCCAGGGCAAAATGAGATGGCGCCCTTGCATCCGATGAGCTATGGATGGGACACACGCACCGCTGCATTTCGGGCAGCAGAAACTGCTCAAGCACATCGAGGGGAATTTCCTTGAAGAGGCCGCAGCGATACAAAAGACCCAGATTGTACACGTGATCACTGTGCCTTTGACTGCAATGGGTGAGCCAGCAGAGAACCCAGGAGTAGGCGTCAGCATCTGTTTGGCGACAAAAGCACAGAGAGGCGCTTGCTTCTGGCTGAATACTACTAGCAAAGCATTCCGCAACGCGCACCTGTGCAGGCTTTCGTGCAAGCGGGCCAACACAAATTCCTGCGCGCGGGTCAAGCACCGACGTGAAAGCCTTGCTGCAGCAGGACGCGGGTATCATACGTCACTGGGGGTCAGATGATCGGTCCAGCACAGCGGCTGGGCCCATTCACGCACCTTGCTCATTTGTAGCACGCCTGCTTCGATGTACTGGACAAAGAGGTCCTTGGGTAAGCAGCGGTGGCCGAGCAAAAGAAGTTTTTCCCGAAATCGAGCTGGAAATGGAAACTGCAGACGCTGGAGCACAAAGTACATCTTTTCCAACGACTCGAAAGCAATGCCCACGTGCACAGGATCTAGCGGCTCGCCCTGCTGCACGAGACCCATGCGGTTTAGGTTGCAGCCACACATCCATGGCCAACTTTTGGCTTAATCCACGCGCCAACCTACCGATAGTCCGTTGATGAACTCGTCGCTGACAAAGATATCCATGACCGCGGAAGTCTTGAGCAAAAGGGCTTCCTCATATTCCAATGCCACACGCATGTGTGTATCTTGATTGTCCGACTTGATCATGGACAATATTGCGCTAGCAATGGAGTCACCAGACCCGAATTGACAGGCGAGCTTGGCGAATGAGTTCAAAACACAGTGCTGTGGCCCAAAGCATGCATCGCACGCCAGTAGTACAATCCTGTTTCCTTGACGTACTTTGCATACCAATGCTCTGGGCGACTGCGATGCGCTGTTGCGGCCTGAGCATGTTTGAGAGCAGAGCGCTTCTCCGTGGCGCTCGTCTGTAGAGCGGTGAATGCATGAGTGTGGCGTTGGCTGCCTGGAGTCTGAAACAGTCACAGAATTGAAGGGCATGTGTGCGTGTCGTACCGGTGTACTTGCATGACTTGCAGCGCGGCGATTAGTCGAAAAGGAGCGGAAAAATTCGGAGATCTGAAGAGCGTCGACAGCAGCGAAAGAATATGAGTTGTGTCCTTGTTTTGTTCCTCAGGGCGGGGCCAGGGGTTGAAAACTTGCGCCGAACTTGCGCCGACGGCCAAATTATGAGCAGCCTGCTAGCGATACGGTTTGAGGCTTACCGGCGATGAAGAGTTTTGCTCGCTGCTAGCAGATGCTGTCTTGGCATGCCGGACCAAGGGCGCCGAGGTTTGGCGTTGGGCTCGCGATTGCGCCAACTTAGCAAAGTCCACACGCTTTGTGCGATGCGGGTCTTTAAAGTACATGTCGAGAGAAGCCTCAAAATCGCTGTCATATCGGACGGCAAATGCGTGCTTTTGATACTCCACATCCTGCATGCCAGTGGCCAAACGCCCATGAAGACAGTGTAAGTTTGTCTTTCAAGTTTACCGTCAGGGTGATGCACCGCATGGCTTGGTCCCACCCAAGACACACATTGAGCAGCGTTTAACGATAACCGGGAGGAGTGCACAATCAGGTACCTGATCGGAAAGGCAATCATTCAGGCCAGAGAGTGGAAGAATGGCCAGCAGACGCTTTGCGCTTTTGTAGCGAGACACGCTATTGTACGTTGTACCGAGCAACACCTCTTGGATTACGCGCACGTTCAGCAGGCTAGGTCCATTTTCCCGCAACTCCGTAATCGCATCGAGTACCAGGCGTTCTCGGCCCATGTGCACCAGCAGAAAGTGCACGGCTGCAGCGCGCACGTCGTCGGGCGCCGGACTTGAACAATGGCGGGCCAAACATTCATTTATCATCGTGAGGCGAATGTGCGGCAGCGTTCGTTTGGTGCGAGCAAGTCCATCCGGACATACCTCTCAACCAACTCCTGAAGTGCTAGCATATCAATGGCTGTTTTCATCAAGGGACCGTCGGCCATGTTCAACAACACTGCGCACAACGAATGACGTGGCAGGCGCGGCCATGAACTCTAATCGCATCGCGACTCTGCGCAGAAAAAAAAAAAAAAAGCACGCTATCGGCGCGCAAGAGGTGCCAAATCGCCACTCACTAGCATGGGCAGGGAGAAGCAGAGGCAAGCGATCGAGCTCAAATCGCTCTTCAGGGGTACAGAATCGAAGGCCGACGCGGGGCTCATGTAGACAGCCACAGTCGACAAAGTCGAGACACCATTCCGAGAGATGGACAGCGATTTGCTCCCCTGGGGGTAGGAGTGGGGTGAAGCAAATACCCATTTGCAGGCCAAGGTCAGCGTGAGGCCTGCAAAGATCAACTCTGTTGCGCTTTTCAGAGGGTTGGCCGCTACACATGCCAGTCCGCCATGTTCACTTACGAATGGGGAAGAAAGCCAGGCGTGGCTGGATACACAGGCTGTGTTCGCCATTGGTTTCCGGAGCGGCTAGCAAGGCCAGTGGGGCTGATGCCACGGGCGGCTGGCTCACCGATTGGGTGAGGCTGCAAGACCAGTGAAAGGCCAAGATGGAGTAAGATATGGGCTCGAGGAAGACAGTATCGCCGCCAACGTCGTCGAATTGAGGGACCGTCTGCAAGCAGAGGCAGGCAGCCCCGTCTCCAAGCTCAATGGCGCGGAGGTTGAGTGACTCGTAGTGGCAGCCATCGGCCAGGGGCACGTCCAAAAAACGGCCCACTTCAAAAGTTTGTTGGACTACATCCGGTAGGCACTGCTCTGGAAGGTGGGCGCTGATGAGGCGGGTGAAGACGCCCTGGCGCAAGCCGAGCGTCGCGTAGCTGAGCCGCGAGGGCGAGCTTTCATCATGGCATAGGACGTGAAAGCGCTGTGCCATCTCATCATACTGGAACCAGTAGATCAAGGGTGAGTAGGATGATATTTGGTGGGTGTGCTCCATGTCAACCTTGTACACGCCGGCCTCGGCCTCTGCTATGCAGATGTTGTAGGAGATGAGCGCGGGCCACTGATCCTTGGAGTGGTCGGCGTCGTAGGTGAGATTGCGCACGCGCACCACCACTAGGCGCGCCAGGCGAGGATTGGGGCTTTCCAAGAAGAAGACATGTTGTGTGGCGGCCGTGGAGCAGAGAGCCGAAGCATCTGCCAGTTCTTGAAACTCAATGTTGAAGGCGTCCTGTCGTAGGCCTGCGAGCCAAAGATGATGCTTGCTTCCGTGAGCGGTGGTGTGCTCTGTGCCCGAGGCAGCTTCGTGCCGCGTGGTGTAGCAGACTACCGTTTCCGTGGGGTTCACGGTGGCTGATACAACGTCACAGCAGCCAAAGGGAACTAACGGGGTGTCGTCACGAGCAAGGAAGTGCATGTGAGATGTGAGATGCAACAGCGAGCACCATGGGCAGGGGCATGCTCGAGCCTTTTGAATAGCCGGTCCAGACTCAAGCTGATGACCGCGTACCATTATGGATGTGCTGAAGGGGACATGCATCTTCGGGGTTGTACAAGAAGATGCCGGTGGTTTTGACGTTGTGGTCCTTGAGCTCAATGTCGGCTGTCAGGATGATTTGCTGTGTATTGTTTCGAAAGCCCACAAAGCGTAGACGCCAACGCTTGGCGTCGGCCGAGTCCAGGAAATGGTGGCTGAGTACAGGGATGGCGGGCGTTTCCAACTTGAATAGGCCGTGCTCATCGCTCGCTGGATCAAAGGGCTTGCTCAACGGGCTCACACCCTCCAAAGCCTCCAATTGGGCGAAGAGCCCGTTGAGGTCTGCCACCTCAGTCTGATCGAGCATGGTGGCGAATCAAGCAATCAAGCCCGAAAGGAGACCTCGCACGCAGCAGCAATCAAACCAAACCAAAGCCGCAATCACTCTCCAGCCCAGCATTCCCCTCCCCCTCCCGCACTTCCCTCCTCTTGATCCAAGACGAAGCACTGATCCCTGCTGCCCTCTCTTTGAGTCACTTTCAAAAATGCACGCGAGCGAAAGAGAGAGAGAGAGAGAGAACAGAAAGTCAGACGACAAATGGAAACAAAAGAAACTTGACTCACACACACACACACACACACACACACACACACACACACACACACACACACACACACACACACACACACACACACACACACACACACACACACACACACACACACACACACACACACACACACACACACACACACACACACACACACACACACCACACACACACACACGTTTGCTTGATGCAGCATGCGAGTAGGGGTGCTAATTTACTATGGGGAGGGTGAGATGTGCGTGGATGACTGATGGGCTGGCGAGACCCGGACGGTTGGTGAGGTGAGATGGAAGTGGTCGGCATTGTGCGAGGGAGTTTTACGGCTGAGGAAGAATTCAATTTGGGTTGTCGTGACGGGATGAGCCACAAGGCACATAGTGAATATGGCGCCAGAGCATTGCCCACGGTGAGGCTGAGCTGTGTTGCCGGCAAGCCCTGGGCTGAGGCAGTCAGGATGGCAGTGCCGTTGACGACGCCGTCATAGAGCTTCGAGGGCGCACAATGGCCAGCAAGGCCCCCGCCAGGCAGTCTTGGTGCTCTGGGATGGATCGTGCAAATCGTTGGGATCTCCAGCACCAAGAGCGATCAGCTTGGCCGCCCCCGTGACCTCAACTGACACTCTCAATGAGGCAGCAGCAACGGTCTGGCCTTGTGCATCCACCACCAAAATGGTGCAAAACATCAAATTATACCGACTGGCCAGCAGGGCCTTCTTATCCGGCTGCCGTGCCAGCGCCGCCGGCGCTCCGGCCGGAATGAAGGAACGAGACGCCTGAAAGACGTTGTTTTGGTCCAAGGCCACAATCGTGAGGTTGCCCGGTTGATACGGCACGTTTACTGTTGCACGGCGGCTGGCCGAGTCCACGGCCACGGCCGCACCCAGCGGCACGCCATTCAAATAGAATTGCACGACTGGCCAGGTTGCAAATGCCACCACACCCAATTCCCCAGCGCCCACGGGCCAGGTCCAGCTCTGGCGCTCGTCTGGGTAGCCCCAGGCGGCAATCACCTAAACGTGTGAATCAACCCCGGCTCAAAGTCATTCGAAACAGGGCTGGCTTGACAGACCTCGAGTCCAGCGGGCTTTTCGCGCATTTCACATCAAGACTTGTTCCCATAGTCAGATCTACTCTATCTTGCAATTTCTCTGCATTAATTTGACCGGGTCAGTCTACTATATCTCCTTTCCACCCCCACCGTCTCCGCTTCAACTACCCTTTTTTCTGCATCGACTTGGAAAAATCATTGTCAGATTGTCAGATTGTCAGATTGATGTCTCTCTGGCTTTTTGAGATTTTTGATGAAAATGGCGTCGCTGCGACCGGATCGGAAGCGCGCCGCCCATTATCGGGTGGCCGATCCAATTCGGCGGCTGAAAATCCGTGTACAGTTGCGAAAAGTGACAGCGGTGGGCTTGACGCAGTTGCAGAGTGCTCATGTACCGAGCACTGCCACAACGAAACTGGATGACGCTGCTGGCGAAGTACCCGGGGACTCTGGCCCGCACGAGGTTCAGGCAGAGGTGCCGCGCCAGCCATGTACGTCGGCACTGCACAGTAGGAGAGGGTCGACGGCAACACACACTGCTTGCTTGTTTAATTTTTTTTTTAAGGAGGGGGACACTTCTCAAACCAACCTCATGCTGATTGCCCGCGACTCGTGATAGATTTATTCCGTGAAGCGCGCATCGTGTCCTGGCAAGAGAAGGTTTTTAGTCAGGTCAGTCAGGCTGGTCACCTCGAACTTTAACTTACGAGACTCGCCTGGCCAGCCTTGCCGCCTGGTGTTTGAGAGGAAATGTTTCTCGCTTCTTCTGATGCTGGCATCCCTGGCCCCAGGAGGAGCTCGAGTATTATCGTACGACTCCAGAAGCGGAGCTGCAGCCCGTTGAGCAACAGCTGCGCGCACAGGCCCTGGCACTCCTCGATAACCCGTACGTGCCATGCCGTACAGCCCGTCACCCTTGCTGCTTCAACAAAAATGATTGCTGGTGGCGCCCAGTATGTGATGGTCTGTGGCATGCATTTTACTTGACCTGGCCTCTGCTATCGACAACCTCTGCGACCAGGCCGGCCAACGTGTTTGAAACTTGTTTGTACACCATCGTGGACTACGACCTTGAGAAGATAGAGGCCAATGACCATGAGGCCGATCTCTTGCGCACGGCACAAGGCCAGCCAGCCGTCGTCACAACGGCATTGCAGCGCCGGATGGCCCTCACCGACCGTCGGCGGGGTGACCGTTTTCGAGCCCTGCGCCGCTTAAAGTAAGCTCGAACTCACCTGTACCATTGGGCACGTTTCCTCCTTGATGCACTCTTGCTGCGCGTGGCTCATCATTTGTGGGGCTGGGGACTTGAACAGACAAGAGGAGCATGACCCCGAGGAAGTGGTAGGTCTGGCCAGTGATCCAGCGGCACACGTCATCGATACCCCGTTTCAGGTGATGCGCATCATGGCAGCTGTGCGCAACCCACAAGACGAGACGGATGTACAGCACACCACGCTTTGTCGCATCAAGGTCAGCTCCCGCTGTTGCTGCTGCCATTGTTGTTGTTGTTGTTGGGTTTGTGTTATCTTTGGTTGCTGTGGACTATCTTGCTGCTAAAGAAGAACTTAAAGAGATTGGCTTGTCTGGTCGCTCCAGTACGACGCCTCACAGGTGCTGCAAATAACCCCTGACTTTACGAATCGGAACCTGCCCTATCGCTTTGGAACGCCGTGGGGCGATTTGTACGAGTACGAACTGTACCATGCCTCCAAGAGCATATCAGCTACCGAGGCAGCCGCTGATGCTGAATTTCAGCATGGTCAGTTCCTTGTGTGCTGCTGTTCTTTCGGATTGTGGACTGTGTTTTTATTGACATTTCGAAGCACTTGTTGGGCGTAAGCTTGGGAAAATCTGGCGGATCATTGACGACATTTTTGTACCTTGTCTGGTCGTAGAACTGGCGGCTCGTCAGCGACTATTCAATAGCCAGCGCATCGGCACTACATTTGAGCCAGCCCCACACGGTCGCCTTGCCGTGGTAGGTTACTTTCGCCCTTGCGTCAAGACCCTGACATTGCTATCTAGAGTATTGCTGTTTGTTGGAGAAACGGAGAGGGAAAGAAGAAGCACCATTTGAATGATCTGGCTCGAATTATTATCTTTGCGGGGAGGCGGGGTGGGGGCCTGTTTGCACCGATGGAAAAAAGCACCTCACCATTTCCTTGTCAACGTGCATCTGGATGTCCATGGCCAGCGCTTAAACTTGATGGGAAGTCTCCAATACGTGTGTCAATTGCCTACCAGTGTCACAAACGCCTATGCAACATTTGAGATCGAACCCTTGCCTGGCTGGCATTGGAGTGGCGGGTACGTGGCACCATGTATGTGTGTGTGTGTGTGTGTGTGTGTGTGTGTGTGTGTGTGTGTGTGTGTGTGTGTGTGTGTGTGTGCGTGAGTGCGTGCGTGTGGAGAAGGAGTTTTGGGCTTGTTGTCTGGTTGTAAGAGATTCGTGAGCGAGGCAACGCGAGAGAAGGCATTGGCAACTCACTCAAGGGGAAACCTGATTGTAGACAACAAGTTCCCACGCTCGTATCTCAATCAGCAGGGATTGATTCAAAAGGTAGGCCATCCCCGCCGCTTCGACTTGCCCTTGGTTCTTGTGGTGCACATGAGCTGTTTAACACCAGGTGCTTTACATAGGCGTGGCTGCATTTGGTTTGCCCTTTGAGGGGGCCTTGGTATGGAAGGCGGCTTCAAACGCAGAACAGCGGCCCACGCATGCCGCGGCCGTGTATGTGCAGGTGGACTCGCTTGATGCGTGGTCGCGTCGACGTCTTGAGGTGTGCACCTTTGTCAACCATTCACACAAAGCTGTACAACAAGCAGTGTGCTGCTCGGAGGTGTAGGCATCATGGGTGAATGTTGCTGGAATAGGGTGTGGCCTCGTGGCTGGTCCCAGTGGCATCGGGTCGGTGGGAGGAGACCCTGTCATCGTGGCGGCCCTTGGAAACCACCGTGACAGAGCAGATGCGGTATGTTCTGTTGTGGGAGACTCCTCGGGTCATGGCAGTCGCAGCCCATGGATAGCCAAGCCCACCTTTGGGGTGGTTGGTTGATTTGTTTGAGGGTGAAATCACGTGGTGCGCGGGGTGTTCATTGATAATTGTAGGCGATTCTTTGTTGGAGGTGCGCGCGACTTTGAGGAACTGCGGGATGTTCGCTTGAAGCGGACAAATACCTCGGTAAGGTGCTATGCGTAGGGCCATGAGCTCATGCCAGCCCCGGAGGCCATACGAGCAGGCAAGAGCGACGCAACACGCCCAAGATGGCGTGGGGCTGGCACGCCAAGACATGACGTGGATATAATATTATCGGACTGCTTGTGGTTTGACGCTTGCCGCTAGATTGAGAGCAAGTTGGGCCTCGCCTCGACGCCAGGACCACGGGTTGCTTTGAGCATGAATACGGTTGTGGTACGTCCACGTGGAAAGCGTAACACGGTGTTAGACGTCCTGTTGTGTCTGCTTGCATTGACGCCTGAGAGTGCTACGCTGCTTGCGTGTGCGACTGGAGGGGGGGGGGGGGGCGGGGAACAAGGCCACGGGGGATCTTCGAGTCCGTGCTGGTGTCACCTCACTGTCTCACTCTTATCGGTTTGGTGGTGTTTGGCACCCCTGTCCATGGGCAGCATTCAGCCATGGCCGTCTCAACGGAGCAGCTGTTGGCCACACAGACCATGCTGGGACCTGATCGAACGCTGACGACACAGCAAGTGGTGCAGGAGCACGTACGGGCCCATACGCGCATGCTAACACTGACGCGGAATCTCGACGCTGGTGTACCTTATCCTTCGGAAGCATGACACACGACCGCGGGCCCCATAGGCACCAAATGTTGCTACGTATCCGTGCATGTGTGTGTGTGTGTGTGTGTGTGTGTGTATCATGTGACTTCAGGATTTTGATGTCACGAGCATTGACTTGCTATGATGATGTTAGGATTCCCATAGGAACGGCGAAGAGCTGCTGTATTTGCAACTGCTCTCATGACATTTTTTTTATGCCTGCTTGTATAGTTTGTGTAAAACCATTCACACGATTGAGGTCAAATGAGCATTTTTTTTACATGTTAAAGAACTCTCTCTCACACATTGAATGGCTTGGGTGAGTCGCCACAACGTTGGAAGGCGAAATGGAGCTGTGAGCTGCTAGTGTGTGGTGATGTGGGAGAAGGAGCGGTGACTACGGCAGCGCAGGGCAACACATCTGTCTGGTAGCCACAAAGGGTCGATCAGGTTGAGAAGGCAGGCGCCCAAGCACACCCCTGTGGCGGCATGCCCTGGCTGGCTGCCATGAAGCCCCTTTTGGCAGAGCGGATAAAGCCAAAGGGACTTTGGTCGGCAGGCAGGATCTTGTTCAGAACGCACGTACACATGAACATGTGATGATGGGACAGCTTCTTTTTTTCACACAACGAACCAAGCATCACTCTCGATGAAGATGATGCTTTTTGTTGTCATGCTGACGGCGACAGCTGTTACACCTGGGCACACTCTCTCACACGGTGATTGTCACCTTTTTTTTTCTCGTAGGAACCCGAACCATTCTTGTCACCAAGTGCACACGTAAGCCACAAGCGTTGAATTGTCAGACTGAGCATTCATTCTATTGTTGGCAGTTTGCCAGCTCAGCGAGTGCTGCCTGTAACTTGGTCTACGTGACGTTCGAGGGAATTTACATGTCCTCAACGACCGAAATAGGTGATCGCCAAAGAACGGCAGCGCACGACAGGTTGGAACTTGTTGGTTGGAGCAAGGTACAAGCATTTCGCTGCTGGATCTTGCAGTGCTGTGGCCAAGGGCCTTCTTCATTTTCTCGCCCTTGGCACTTTGCTCGTCAAAGCATTTACAAACTTCGTTGTCTGTCTCAGCCGCCCATTCCTAGCGTTGACTACATCGCGCGCTTTACCACGTCATCCAAACTACCGAGACCCAACTCAAGCACACAAGCAGCCGTCGCCCTGGTTCTCGGCTCAAGAATCAACTGAACATCTACGCATCCCACGGAAGCTGGCGGCTGGCGCGGTCGGTCCTTGGCCCTCCTTTCCTCCACAACCATTCGTCTGACTTTCTGGTTGCAGCCACGCACACACCTTGCGCCTTGCACACCCACCCGGTCTCTCTGTGTGGCATTTTCCTTATCCTCTTGGCTCCTGCGTCTCGATTCTTCCGATCCTCCCCTCCCCCTTCCAGTGTCGCAGCGCTGCCTTTCGGCCCCTGATCGACTGATCTAGCTTCACATCAAGTGCATTTGGCAGCCTCAAACCGTGCGTATCTGCTTTGCCCTCGTTTCGCTTGTTGTACCCCCCCTTGCAGACAGACCACTCTGTGCATGTGCCAGCCACCCACCTTTTTTTTCAATTCTTACACCAAGTCCCAACAATATCACATCATTCATCATTCATCATTCTCTCCAACACACACACACACACTTTTCAAAATGATCGAGAAGCAAGCTCTTCTTCTTCACTGTGAGTGTGTGTGTGGGCTTTGTGGCTTGTGCCTCGCGCCTGCCTCTTCGTGCCAAAGGCTGTCCCCCGTTGAGGAACGACGACTGTCGTCCTGTGTCGTTTCTCCTTCCAACTGTCCTTCCGCTGCCATTTTCCTTCCACCGCGCACCCTCGCGTTCGTTCTCACTTGATCATCATCGCTTCGCACACTACCACACACACACACACACACACACACACACACACACACGCACTCTTGGTGGTGGCACGTTGCCCTTTTTTCTTCCTTTTTTTCTTTCTTTCCCAGCTCCGTTCTTTTTTTTTCACCACTCCTCTGCCTTTTGCCATTTTTTCCATCTTCTTTAGAGAGTTTTCCTTCCTTGACGTGCATTCGTGCCGTCAACACCACCATGCCCATTTCGTCACAGCGGCTCTCGCATTCATTACCAAACGTTCCCGCCGCCGCCATTGACGAAAAGTCACTCTACTGCAGGATACCACTCGATGCCGAAAACGCCACGACCACCCTGTCGTATCACTCCAGACCTTCTCCCACAACCTCCATCATGGGCAGTACCCAGCAAACCAAGACCAAGCCTGACTTGGCATGGTCCACCGTTCCCAACACCTTTGACACGGCGCCGTTTGAAGTCAACGGTGCGGACTTGGAGGTGCCCGCGGTCCCAGCCCTGGCTTCTTCGCCCCCCTACTCTGACCCCCTGTCGAGGAGCTGGACTGCCAGCCACGAGGCAACTGTCCCTTGTTCCCCGACCACAGGCTCAACGGCAACCACATCCAGCCCTCAATCCACCCCCGTGGGCTGGGCCTCTGCTCTGCTCTTTGCCCCCGCCGACCCTATCGATACAACCCATGATGTCCACAGCGATTTGACCGTGGCCCCTGCTCTGGAAATGCTCAACATGCTACACCTCGGCACCTCAGCCACCCCCGGCACCCTCAGCCAGCTCAAAGACCACCTGCAACATCTGCAGGAGCAGGATCGCAATGCTTGGCTTCACTCTGAGGGGGCTGACGACGATGTCGATGTCAACGCTCTCAAGCTCAGCTCCACCCGCAACAAAGCCGCCCAGCTCATTCAGCAACACGTGTGTCACGTACTCACCCAGACCCAAGCCGCCCTCGATACCCTTTTGAATGCCCTCTCCAACCACGGCGCCCATCATCCGCACAACAACATCAACAACGCGAGTCACGGCAACAGCAGCAATGCCCTCGTCCACATGACCAACGGCGGCAAAGGTGGCCATCACCACCACCACCACCAGCATCATGCCTCCCCAACCTCCCCCCTCGATACCTCGCAACTGCGCACCGCCGTGGGCAACCTTCTCGAGGCCATTCAGTTTGTGGAGGAACAGCTCCAAAGCCACCAAACTGAGTGGGTGGATGCCGAAACCGTGGTCCTTAGTCTCCGTGGCACCGCCCTCATTCATCGCGTTGAGGACGCCGTTGCCACGGGTCCAGCTCTGCCCTTGGAAGCGAACCTATTCAAACAGCAACAACAGCTGGCCACCCTTCTGTTTGACAACCTCGTCCGACGCGTCACGACCATTGACTCGACCCTGCGGGACCCCGAGGTTGAAGCCGCTGCCCTCACCGCCGCCACCGACATGAATGACGTGGCCCGTTTCTGGGCCTTTCTCGAGGCCATGAACATGGAGAGCCCCGACCTGCGCTCGCCCGCGCTCCCAGTCGCCCATGCGCTGTTGCGAGGCTTTCTCTGCTTGCCCGTCGTGCGCCACGTCGGCGTTCGCCTCGAGCCGACCATGTGGAACCTGATTGAGGCCGCTGCTCACACTCACACCCACGAGCCCAGCCTCTACATTCAGGTATTGCAGGTGTACCGTGCGTATCGCGGCAATGCTGCAGCTCAGAGCTACCACCAGCTGCACGGCCGCCGCCATCAGCACTCCATTGCCAGCAGGCCCGAGTGGGCGAGCATTGTAGCCCAAATTCAGCTGGGCGTTGTGCTCGAGCTCTCGGCCGAAATGGATCAAGCCAGCGCCACGGAACTTGTGCGTCAACTGCCCCAGCAAGCACCGGCCCAGGACCTGGTCAACATGCTGCTGCAGCTGGCCCCGCCCTCGCACCGTCTTTGGCAACCCCGCAGCCTTGGCTACCTGCTCAAGGCCATGGCCGACCAATGGAGCGCCCGACATGCCGAAGAGGTGTTGCAGCTGCTCTTGGACGTGGATTGCGCCGAGCTGGACGCCGTTGTGTTTGGCATTGTTATGAAGGCTGTTGCGAAAGCCCCCGATCACCACCGCACCGCCCGCTGCCAGCACTGGATCTCAGTCATGCAGCAGCGCCGTTTGCAGGTGGCGGCTGCCCCCTACACGTCCCTCATGCTCAGCATGTCCAAGGATCATCGTCCCCGCGACATGCTCGGCGTAGCCCAGGAGATGGCCCGCCTGAACTTGCTCGATGACTTGGCCCGCGCCACACTACTCGAGCAGCTCTGCGAGCACAAGTGTCAGAGCGAGGTGCAGCAAGTCCTTCACACTCCAATCTATGGCCTCCGCTCACTGCGCTCACCCGTGGTGGAGCGCGTGGAAGGTCGCTTGCGCAAGCAACGCCGCTTTCGGGCTCTGGCCGTTCTCGAGGCCGGTCTGCGTACCTTGCCCTCTGGCAACCCATCGCAACTCCAGATGACCTCCCAGCCTGCCTCCCCCCCTCAGCAGCAGCGTCATCTTCGCCACCATTCGCGCCAATCCCAACAGCCCCACCACCACCATCAACAACAACAACAACACCACCACCACCACCATCAACACCGTGTTCACCAGGCTCAGGCTCAGGCTCAGGCTCAGGCTCAGGCTCAGGCTCAGCTCTATTTGCCCATGAATATGGGCATGGGCTGGCCCATGGCGGGGAGCCCTCCGCGCTGGAGCAACGCATCCATGACACCGATGCTGCCCCCCACCACCACTGCCACCTCGACGGCTGCTGCGTGGGACGCGTCATCAGCGGGATGGGAGACGCCCGCCCCAGTTTGGAACATGCCCCCCTCTGTGCATCGCTCGTCGTAAAACAAGCGTTTGCGCACACGCACACGCACACGCACACGCCCCTCTTCCATTTTTGTCAAGTTCTCGTCTGTCGTGTGTCAGCTTGAGCTTATTGCGGTATGCGATCGGTCTTTCCCATGACCGACTGGCTCAAAGTCTTGTCCTCCCAAAGCACCAATGCGTTGCGTTGTTGAATTTTTTTGTGGGTCGCGCTTCTTCTCCGCGTAATTGCCGTGAACGCCTTTCGGAGATGCTGTTCAGTGGCGTGGTGTTTTTGTTGTGTCTGCATTTTTGTGTGTTTAGTCTCTTGTCCCATATTGTAGTTTCGAGTAAACCTGTGTGTAAGTGCTGCACATGACACGCGCCAGATTTTGTTCATGTGCCCTAGCTTCCCCGATCCAGCTTTTGCAACTTTTTTTTATTGTAGCTTTGATTATTTTTCCGTCTTACCAACCAACGGATGCGCGCGTGCGTGCGCCGCGAGTCTTTTCCAGAGCCCGTGTGATTGTTTTCCCGGTTCTCATTCAGGTGCTCTCCCCCTTCTATTCCGAACAAGTAGTCCTAATAACGTATCGTGTTGTTGCACGTCTTTATCTCCTTCCTTGTCAGGCACGGCGCGGCGGGAGCAGGATTTCTCTCGCCTTGTTTGCCGTTTTGCCTTTGCCTCGGTGGTTTTCTAGCTTGAAGTCTACGTGCCTGATCACTATGGACAGGGCGCAAGCGTCCTGCGTCCACTTCTCCCGAGTTTGCCTAGTGTCTTCATCGACCTCAATCGAGTTTCGAATTCATGTCTTAGCATCATCATCTCGTCAAAAGAAAAATTTAATTTTTTTTGGATGTTACACGAAGTTCACGCGCTTCTGTGTCTTGCGCCGCTGCGGCGCGGCTGCACTCAAGAAACGCCCCTCCCTTACATGCGCATACGCACACACCCCACGGTGGCATATGTAGCCGACTGGCCGAGCGCCCTCTGCAGCAGCAGCACCCCCACCCTGGTTTTACATGTGCCCTCCGGCATAGGCTTCCTTGACACTGACAGAAGCATCCTTGTCACACACACACTGACAAATGCTCACACTCATGAATACGAATAGATACACTTACACCGACAAATTCACACGCTTAGACCAACAAATTCACACACTTTGACCGACAAATTCACACACTTACAAATTGATATGCGTACACACTCACTCTCTCTAACAAATACATAGGACACCCTGGTGGTCCTCGCAGCTGCGTCGTGGCTGCGTGCAGTCGAGGAAGAGGAGGGACGCCGTTCCGTGTCCTGTGATCAATACTTGTAAACGTCGAAGCGGATCACGAGGCATTTTACAACTGTCTTCTCAAGCCACTACCTTTCTTCATCCCCGCTTTGACTGCCTTTTGCCTTGCGCACTGCCCTTGAAGCCTTGTTTATCTTTTTTTTAAATTTTCGAGCCCGACTCTTCGACCTAAATCATGTGCAAGCAAACCTACAACCATGGCCTTGTCGAAGCCGTGCGTCGCCAGAACTTGCCCGGTGTCAAGCGTGCCCTGGCCAGTGGTGCGGATCTGAACCACCGCAATGGCTGTCGCGGCGAAACTGCCCTGATGGCCGCCGCTCGTTACGGCAATGATGACATTCTTGAGCTCCTCCTGGCCCAAGAACCGCGCCCTGACCTCCACGCTCGATCCCACTGCGAGGGCCTCACCGCACTCCACTACGCTTCCGAACGCAACCACCTCGCTTGCGTGGACGCGCTCCTTGCCGCTGGCGCCGACCCACTCCTCCAATCTGGTCGCCCTGACTCCAAATGCACTGGCCGTACCGCCCGCGAAGTCGCAGGCCGCCGCAGTTGTCGCCGCGAGCCTCGAGTGGTGGCCCTGATCGATCGCGCCATCGCAGGCCTGGAAGTCCGACCCCTGATGGAAACGGACGACGCCGTCGCCTTGACGCACCTCCTACCTCAGCTGTCCCAGGACGACCTGGACATGGCCCTCACTGAGGCCGCCCGTGCCAACGCTTACGAAGCTGCGACCGCCCTGCTCCAAGCCGGTGCCAACGCCAAGAACCGTTTGCGGGATGGTCGCACCCCCCGCGCTTGGTGCGGGCAGCGCCGAGTCGACGGCGCCGATTGGCGCCTTGTTCAACTGCTGCAGCGCTACGAACAAAGCGACAAGGCAGCCTTGGTCGATCAAGACGTCTCCGCCAAGGACCAGCTTCTGCTGCCACCCTCCCCCGTCCATGCCCCGCCCGCCTATGACCTGGCGACCCCCAGCCCAGTACCCCAGCTCTGAGATGTGCCGGTGATGCCCTCGTTAGCCCTGCGCACCCAAAAGGATAAAATTTTAAAAAAGAAAAAGACAACAGAAACAGCAACAGCAACAGCAACAGCAACAGCAACAGCAACAGCAACGGGGCGACAACTACAACTTGATGCGACAGCAAGGCATCTTGCTCCTCGTGTCACAACCATTTATGCTGCGGCTGGTCGATTCCACGAAGCGTTTTGTGTTTTGTGTGAGCGGAGAACATGGCCACTTTCGAGCTTGCCTGGTGTATATAGTATCGACAATCAATTGATATTCTATTTGCACTTTGCAGCACTATCCGCCTGCCCCTTCTCGTTCTAGTATCTCGACTATGGCCCGTCTTGTCAAAGCGGTGCACAGAGCAACGTCTCTGATCAAGCCCCCAAACCCCCACCCTTTAACCTTTGGCTCTGACGGAATTGTGATATGTACACACACACGCAGGCCGTCTCATGCTGCCGCTCTTGCGGCAGTGAGCGCTGCAACACCAACAAACTCAAAAATAAACAAAGTTGAAAAGGCAAGTGGGGATCACATGGCTTACGATCACACAGCATCCGGTTCGCACTTGCCCCTTGAAGCAAGACGCGAAGGGCTCTGACACGCCGATCAAATGACGATACGCTCCGTTTCGATAGCACACTTCAGGCATGCATGTAAAGCAAAGGCGTCGTCGCGCACCGACTTGACCGTGTCCTCGTTGGTGATGACGTCCTGCCAGCAGCCCATCAGCAAATGAGTCCCCCCCCCCGCCCCCGCCACGTCCGACACAAGCCCTTAGCAATAGAAGATAGACGTACAGATAACCACGGCAACGCATTTAGTTGACTCAACTGCCGTGCCGTCAGGGCATCCTGACACAGTCGCAGCAGCACATGAAGACCCATGGCCGTGGTCGTACTGTCTGCATCTCCCTTGGCCAAGATGCGCAAAATTGTCACGCCCACTAGCCCGTTGTCACATGACACAACCCCCACCAAACAGCATCAATCACAGTGAGGCTGCCACCCAACGACTATTCGTGTTCTGCCGAGGCCAGCCACTCACCATCGGTGCGCATGGCCATGAGTAAGTGGTCATGATCGGCACAGTGGGCCAGAATCTCCATGCAGGCACGCGCCAGGCGTGAGCCTTCCCCGCCGCTAGTCTCATGGAGACGCAATAGTACGTCGTTGCAAAAGCTCAATACCCGCTGCGCCTCACCAACTTCCATGTCCTACGCACGCACACGCACAAATACACACCATCATCACCACCACCACCACCACCATGTCAGTCAGCACACATTCATATACCTCTTCACGCTTCAAGTGTGGCAAGCATTCATTGCTCGGTAGTCTTCTTACCTTGCCGTGCCGGACCAAGGCCACATACACACTGGCCAAGGCGCAGAGCACATCATGGCGTTCCGCGTGCCGTTGAGCCACTTGCTGAAGCATGCTCCATAGCTTAGGCTGACTGAGCAGGCGCTCTGCTTTGGGATGTTCGCGAAACAAGTGAGCCAGTGCCTCGAGCACGTGTGCTGCCACATCCGGCTGCTCCTCTCGCAATTCGCGAAGCACGCTCAACAAAGCCTTGACCATCTTGTGTTGCAACTGACAAGCACCAAACCACATCAATGCGCGCAGGGCCACGAATGAGTTTAGAGCTTGAGAGGCATTGATGAATAGCCTCACTTGCGGCAACACAAGCGAGGCAGACGAAAAGAAAGACACGCCATGATATCGTGGCGTGGCGTAGCGTGACGGGCAAGCCCTCGAGGCAACAGCTTGAAGGAGAGCACCGCGGCAGTGTTATTGACGCACCAACGTTTCGTGATACGCACGCGTCTTGCAAAGACTGCGGACGTGATTGGCAGCAGCCAGTCGCACCGCGTGGTCAGGTGCGGTCAGGCACCGGGTCAAGTATCCCAGAATGGTGGGTGACAAAGCCTGACCAGACGCAAGAGTGTACACAATGTCGAGATGGCTCATGCATGGTGCATGCTGATACCGCATGGCCGTCGCTGCAATCACCTCGGCAAAGTTCGCCTCATGCATGGATGGGCGGTGCGGTGCGTGCTGAAAAACCATCACCATCAAACTCATGGCCCTGACACAGTGGAGGCGATGGGATGAGACTTGAGCCTTGCCTGCCAGTGCGCTTTTGCTTCAGCAAGGCCACAAACTCGCCAAACGCAAGCCGGACGGGAGGGGAGACAACATACTTTTGCCAGGACTCTACTTCTTGGCTCAGATGGACACTCTGTTGAACGCACGCGATGAAATCGGTAGTCAACTTTTGCCTCTGTGCCACAGCAGGCCAGCAGGCTCGAGTCAAGGCAATACAGGGCAGCAAGAGTTGTGGTGGCATCTGCCGTGGCCCGCAAGGCAATTTCAAACGCACACCACACAAGGTGAGAAAAGTCGCAGCATCGGCTACCAAACTCGGTCCTCAAGCCCATCGTATCCACTCAAGCTCCCCAGCAAGGAGGGCTGACCTCGGCAACGTTCAACAAGGTACTGAGCGCGCGCAATACGCCGGCGTCCATCAGTGCATTGGCGTGAGACGCGTCCTGGCGACTGAGGTGCGCCAAAAGCGTCAACACTTGGACAATGGTCATGGCCGAGCCCATCTCACGATCTCTGCATGGTCATTGGAAGCAAAGCAGCAGCTTGTGAGCGTGTGCAGGCAAGCTGCCAAGCAGCGGGTGGGGTCATGGCATGACAGATCACCGTTTGGCGTACCGCAGGTAGTTGAGAAGAACATCACGGCCATGTCCGCGCAGAAGCTGTGCCTGACCCGCCGCATTGCGCCAGACGAGTGACGCCAGAGCATTGAGAAGGCTTTGCATGACCTGTTTAGAAGAAGAAAGACGCCAAGATGAGGCAGCCTCGAAGGAAAAGCTCGAGCCCAACGCTTGCATTCAGTCCGTGTGCTTTAGAACAATTGGAGATAGGCTCACATGGTGACGTGTCGTCTCGAGCTGATCTTGTTGGAGGCAGTCGGTCATTTTGAGGATCAGACACTTGACACCACCATAACGCTGTACTTCGGCGCCGTTGTGTTCCAGGGAGAGGCCCAGTGTGAGGAGCGAACCTGATAGCCGTCACGAGCATGGGTGAGAGCCCTTTCCCGTCATCAAAGCGGCTGGATGCAAGTTTTTGACGCATTCTACAACCACTCTCCTCCGTTCTCCATTTCAAAGAAGAAAACAAATCTTACTCAAGTGAGCCACTAGGCGAGGCTCGTCGGCAAAGTGCAGGCGGGCCACCACTTCGCGGCACGCGGTCGGTGTCAGCAGGGTTTGCATCCCTTTCAAATCGTAACGAAAGACAATGTGCAGTAGATCAATAGCGGTAATCACAATGTTGAGGTGGCTGGAATGCAAGCTCAAGGACAAAAGTTGGCCCGCCAAATCGTCGTGCAGCGTGGTAGTACAGGCTGGAAAGGGGGCCACGATGGTGCGGAGAACCTGTAACGCCAGGTCGAGGGGATGGTCTCTCTTCTGAGTTGCCAGGGGGCTATTCGTGTGGAAATCGGCCGCGCCAACGATGAAAAAGGTGAGGTTGCGAGGCAGGCTGGATTTCAGCAGTTGCTGGGCCTCCGTCTGCTTGTTCTCGAGTCGCTCCTTGATCTGACGGAGCGATGAGTAGAAGAGGGCCTGATCGTGCTTGTAGACAGACGTGGCGGCGATCAAATCCTCGAGGCGCTGACTGAAGCGCACAGACGCATCCGCAGACACGGTTGAGGGTGTGTGATTGAGGGGATCAAGCAAGTTGTCATGACTCTCCCTTTCAGCAGGAGCAAGCTCGTGGACCACAGCTTTGTCGGCCATGGGTTTGGAGTCTAGATGAACCGCCTCACGATTTGTCCGATCGCCCAGGGGTCTGATTCGCCGTCGGGGGGCCTTGGATAAGGCCTTGCTAAGAGGAGGCGGAGCGGCATCTGCCAAACCAGGAGCGTTGGGTTCAAGAGCGAGACCCAGCATCTTGTGGGTAGTGCAGTGGCTAGGTGGGTTGTGTGGCGCTGCCCGTCTGGGCAGCGGAGCAGTTTGATGATTAGCACTGCCAATGCAGCGCTCCGAAAGCGAAGCGGCTGGCGTGGCTTTTTCGCGAAGAGCTGAGCAATTCTCAAGAAGCGTGCTCAAGTCCAGGGAGAGGAGGTCCAACTGAGGCTCTTCCGCGCGCGTGTTGGCACTCATGCTGCTCGCCCCGGTAGCCTCGGTGGACTTGTGTGCATGTAGAGTGCACGGGCCGAGGGTGGGTTAGTTGTCAAGGAATCGCGTGCTCGGGCACGCGTGCTCAAAGTTGAAAGCAACCGCAGAAGAAGCGAAAAAAAAAAAGTGTGGCAACATGCAAGATGCGTTTCAGTTGACCCGTCCGTTCATGTGCGAAGGACAAAAGAGGCAACAAAGTTGTGATACAAATGGCAGAGCAGAATCGTGGTGTTTGGTGAATTTTCGCCAAGGCGGGCGAGCGTGGTTGGTGGTGGTGGTGTGGTTGGGTGAAAAGATGCAGGTCAGTCTGGTGGGGTTGGCATCATCGTGGCGTCTCACGAGGCGTCGTCGGCAGCTTGCGTGCAGGCTTGCAACCCCGGTGCGCCATGTTCGTCCGGTATCCGCCCTGTCCGCGTTGGCGGTCGATTTGAATTTGCGCGGAACCTTATAATGTCAGATAAAATTGAAATGTCAGCCAAAAGTAATTAACTGTAAAAAGTGAGGCACTTACGAGGATCGAACTCGTGGCCTTTGGTTTACGAGACCAACGCTCTACCACTGAGCTAAAGCGCCGTGCATGTCGATGCGTGGTGTAATTGTATATATAATCTACATTCTTATCAGCCAACATTCCTAAACCGCGTCACCCTGCTGCTGCTGTTGCTGCTGTTGTTGTTGTTTTGCATGAGTTGCACAGTTTGCGCAGTGGTGCTGGAGTTGTGACGGCGCACTTGAGAGGAGGTCAGGTGCTCGGAGACGAAAGCCGACCACGACGATCAGAGCGACTTGAAGCAGTTTTCATTGTCACTGATCAAGCAGCACACGACCAGTCAAGATGTTCTTCGACCAGATGAATGCCCGTTTTGAGGATGTGCCGACGGATGGCGGCATTGCCACTGAGCCGTTCCTCGACGCCTGTGCTGCCCTAGTTCCCATCTTTGGTGCGCTCTCGATTCTGAGGGGAGGAATTGAGGAGGAGGGAGAAAAGGACTCGTTTGCACATGTGCGGGTGCAGTCTTGTCTCATGTCCATTGGATCGTGCATGTGTGGTTAGACGCCTTGGGCTCCACGGCATTTGCGCCGATCAAGTCAGACATTAACGGCAACATTAAGGTTTGTTGGTGGACATCGCCTGTCTCGACCTGGCTTGCTCGGCTCTTCATTGTGTCTTGTTTCTTTGTGGGTCCGCAGAAACTACGCGGCTGGCATGAGAAGGATCCGGCAGGCACTGCTACTCTTGAGGGCATGGTCACCAAGGAGATTGACGCCAAGACCACCACGGCGTCGGGCTCTGCTACTGATGCTTTGCTGTGGCTCAAGCGGTGTGTGCCTGCTTCTCGCTCGCGCTTTCCCTTGCCCCCGCTTCCTGGCTGCTCCCTCCTCCCTCCATTCTCTTCCATTGACCGTGTCGTTTGTTGCAACCTCGCTGCCCCTGCGGCACAAATAGAGCGCTCTCTTTTATCTCTGTCTTTCTGCGTGAATTGGTTGCCGGGGCTGAACCTGCCACTGCGGCTACGACAGCCTATGGCGAGACCCTGCGCAAATACCACAATTTTCTTGTGCGCGGCATTTTTTCTGTGGCCATGCGCGCTTGTCCCACTCGCAAGAAACTCATGGACACGTTGGCCGGCGATTCGGGCGCGGATGATGCCGGCGTAGTAGAGCGCATTCGCCAATTCCAGACGTCGTTTGATCCACAGCTCGCGCAGATTGATGCCTTTTACCAAAAGAATGCCTTGGACAATTAAGCTGAATCAGTCTCTTTTCTTCCAACCCTTTGCTGTGCCACTCGCAAGCAGCCAGGAAGCGTGCATTAAATTGTTACCTTGCCTCAACCCAGTGGCTCTGCTGAGTCGCGACATCGCACCATGTCGAGAGCGGCAGAGGCTTTCATGTTGTGAATCAACCTGTTTTTTTTGGGCAGACAAAGAAATTGTGAATAAATTCAGCCAAAACTGCGCGTAGTGGCGAGCTTATGCTTGAGCCGTGGGTGTGTACACACATACACACAGTAGATGGTCTCCCTGCCTTTTTTATCTCGCGTCCTCCTTCTACGGTGAATGCGGATTGAATGGATAGCCCAGACAACTCGCCAAGAGCAGGAAGAGAATACCCAAATGGTTCGTGAAAAGGATTGTTACACCTCCATCAGGCATTTGGGATGAAGGAAATATACCATAGCAATGAAATTGAATGGATCACGCCTGATACTACAGCAAGCGAGTTTCACGGTACGTTCCAGCGCGGCTGGAGCACGCAGCACTTGTATCAATCACCAGCAGAAGTCACCACAAGCGTCAAAGGTGAACAGAGGACGGTCCCACGACACAGCTACACGAATCAACGACATGAAAGCATGGGTTCTACAACAGATTGTCGGTCAACGTGCTATCGGTAGGCAAGCTTGCAGGCGCAGCTTCGTGTCCAGAATCCTTGCTGTGCTGTCGTTTGGCGTCAGCACGCGGAGTACCCTGAGGCGTTCGGAGGGAGGGGGTGCCTCGTGGGGTCACCCGCGGAGTCGAGCGCGTGCCAAGTGCTCGGTTGCCCGCCGAGCTCGTAGCTCGCCGCAGTGCAGAATTCAAGGAGCTGGAAGACGAGCGGTTGGTGCCCAAGCGTCGAGCAAGCTGCTGAGCGGCCGGTGACATTGATGCCAGGCGACGGGCTGCCGGGGTATGTCGACTGGAGTGCTCGACGGAGCCAGCACGAGTGCGCGCCTGCGCGGCATGCTGCATCTTGCGACGCTTGGCTGCCGTGTCCTCTGCCAGGCGACGACCAAGCTGGTCGCGTGCCGAGGGCTCGGGTATGTTAAAGGCTGGGCCCGACTGCAGCGGTACATCCCCTGCATCCAGGCGGAATGGTGTCCCATCGATCTCACCCCAAGTCAGGTCTGGATCCAAGTCCTGGCCGGGCACAGGCGAGGGGGTGGCCACAAACTTGTAGCCATTGACAGCCGGCGTCCCATCCGTACTGCTAGACGGTGTGTGGCGGGCGTGCACCGAAGGTTTGTTGCCATCGTCTCGGAGAATGACCACGCCATGTTGGCTGGCGCCCGTCTTGGTGCCAGTCTTCGTTCCGTTACTTGAGCCAGTTGTGGGAAAGGGAGCGCGAGTGAAGCGCGTGTTGGCGTGTTGAATAACGTTTTGCTTGCGTTTTGAAAGTGCAATCAGTTCCTTGGCTGTCGGGGTCTTCTCGGAGGGCGCCCACATGAGCTGATTGCGCGGGGTGTGACGCCAATGGTCGAGAAAGTAAGACTTGTAGGCATCCTTGTCACCGTCTGTCAGTGCCAGGCGCTGTGCCTGCTCTTCTGCGCGCCCAAAGAGGCTCTCAAACTGGGCTCGAAGGCGCAAGTTGGTCTGCTCAATAATCTGGTCAAACGAGTCGTTATCTTCGGAGGTATACTTGTCCAGGAATCGGTCCAGCGATAAAGTGGTATCCGCACTGGGTTTATCGTCTGCCTTGCGATTGCTGCCAGCAGCGCTGACACTGTCAGCACCATCGGTGCCGCCTTCAGCCCCAGGCAGGTGCAAGTCGCTCCCGCTGCGCATGCCGGGCGTGCCGGCACGGCTCCAAGGAGAGGCAGCATCCTGACGTGCGCCGGGTAGAGGCGTCTCAAAGGATCCGCCTGCCCTACTAGGTGTGGTTCGGCGCGAGCTGGCCGTGCTGCCTACCCCGGGGGTGCCGTAGCGGCGAGAAATGTCCCGCAAACGTTCAAAATCGTTGGCTTCCAAAGCCTGCAAATACTCTTCCTGTGCTCGCAGCTGAGGGAGTTGGGGATAAAAGTCACGCTCAATAATCTTTTCCAGTGCGGCAACGTAGTCGTCCTCCTCCAAGACTGTCTTGGGCTTGCGTCGTGGCAGGCCCTCGGGGGCGCGAAACACGGCCAGCTCACCAGTAGCCCGTCGCACCACAAGCCGGCGCTCGGCTGCCGCAGCCTCAGTGCCCTTTGCGCCACCCTGGCTGTCAGCCATCGTGTACAGTTTACAATCGGCAGCCAACAGACGTGCCACTAATGCTTCAACCAACAGCCAAGTACCTGGCCCCGTTACCCCTCTGACTCCTCCTCGAGACGATGGCCCGACGCGCTGCCGTCTCCAGCCCGTGTTGGCTCTTCAAAAGCAGAAGAAGCAAAAAAAAGAAGAAAATGTTTTTTAAGAATTGCGTGTGAGGTGCTTTGTTCTTTCTGACAAATGTACCACGAGAAATCCTAAAGTGCTCACCATCGGCAGTGGGCCCACCCCGCCCCGAACGGGGAGGGGAGTACAGAAAGAAGGATGAGTAGACGACGACGGTACCTTGATGTTCGGAGATGTCTTTCTCGTCGCCGTGTCTTCGTCGTCGACTGAGACTTATGGTGCGCTGCCATTTGAGTTTTGAGCTCACGTCTTGTTTCAGATCAGAGCAGATGGCTTTGTTAGATGTTGACAAAAAGCCTCGGCAAGGAACAGACCGCAAACGGTGTTTCATGGTCGTACAGACCTCACGGAGAAGTGAGACTCAAGACGGTCACAACAGAAAATTGGCAAAAATTATTGCAGGCTGGCCAGGAACCCAATCTGAGGCGTATGGCTGCCGGGACGGCAGAGCAAGTCCTAAAACACCGGCTGCCATATGATTATTTGCCACTCAACACGAACAACAACACAAATTTACCAGGAGCGAAATCAGTGATGATAACAAATTAAATATCAGAAGGCGAACGCAGTGAGGTGGTCGTTCCACGTGCGCGGTTGCTTGATGACGCAGCAACAACAGCAACAACAGCAGCAAGCAAACGACAATTTTTGACGGCGTGCTGTTGGCTGAAAGCGAGCGTACCCGTCTTGACGTCTTGGTCGGCGCGACTGGTGGCTGGGGTTGAGGGTGTTGGTGGTGATTTGAGTCTCGTGGCCTGGAAGTGATCAAAGCCATGGAAGCTGGGACAGCCTCACGCTATGGCGTGCTTGTGGCCCTGACCGTTGGGTTGACCGCGTGGATCATGACCTTGATCCCGCGGGCCATTGCGGCCGGCTCGTGGCTTGATGCCCTCTTGGTAGGATGCCTGCTTCTGGTCGACAGTCGAGCACCAACTCTGCCCATTTTACATTGCGCTTTCCTGTGGGGCCCCTCTTGCTGAGGGTCTTGCTGAATGGCCTTCCCAAACCACCTCGACTAACCGCTTCGATGCATGACTCGTTGGTGGTCCCCTCTTGCCACTCTTGCTAGGAGCTTCGTGGTCCAATCTGGGTGATTGGTCTCGCGCTGTATGGACGTACCCTCTACGAACATTACACCAAGCCCGTGACCTTTGACCCTGCGTAAGTTCCGACCGTGCGCAAGCCGGAGAAAAACCCTTGGCTCTTGTTCCCCTTTGCTGCTGCCATTCGTGAGCTGTCAAGACGACTGACCAATCCTCGTTCGGACACACTTTAGGGCATTTGAGCGTCGCATGCGCGAGGCACAGACAGAGGAGAAGCGTCAGCGCAAGGCAGCCGAAGTAGTGGCCGACCGCGCTGCTGCTACTGCTGCCATCACCACCACTACGACCACGACAGCTGCCGCACCGGCAGAGCAGCCAAAGGCAAAGGCTGCCACCGTCACACCTGCTCCGGCGCGGGTTGCGCCGTCTTCCAAAAGTGTCCAACCATTGTACAAGACTGTGAGCAAGCCGCTGGCAGCCGATGCGCCTCAAGTCGTCACCATCTACTATGGTAGCAAGACTGGTACAGCCGAGGTTAGTCTCCTCCTGGCAAGGTGGACAATCCGCCTAGTGTCGACACATTCAACTCTTGGTGAACCGTTTTTCTTGCATCTTATTTGTTTTTCCAATGGGTGTGCCTGCATGCTTTCAATGATCCGTCGACCGTGCTAACTTCTGCCAACGTCCTCGATAGGGGTTTGCGAACCGCCTATCCAACGCGCTGAGCCAAGCTACGACAGCCCCAGTCACCGTTGCCTCCCTTGCCGAGTACGACATCGACAAGCTGTCGGTGCGTTGCCGGCCTGCTTTGCACACGAGCCGCCAATGGTGGATGTTTGTGTCTTGTGGCTACCAAGCATCAAAGCTGACTCCATCCTGGAGAAGGCCACATCCAGAATCGTTGGTATCCGTCATCAACGCCGCAAAACTGCAGCTCACTTGTCCACCGAACCTTGAACTTGAGTAGGCAGAGAAGGGCATTGTCATCTTCATCACTGCCACATATGAGCACGGTTCTCCGCCCGACAATGCAAACTGGTTTCACACCACCCTGCTCGACGCTGCCAAGTATGCTGAGCCCCTCGAGTCGTCGCAGTTGTGGTCTCGGTCCAATATCTGCTTTTGAACTTTATTGATTTATTTATTTTGTTTGTTTGTTCGTTTGTTTCCCCTGTCTGTTCAACGGGCCAGCAAGCGTGCAGGCAACCTTGTCTCATGATTTTGACTTTGCTTCTTGCTCCATTTTCAGCGACTTTCGGGTCAAAAAGACACAGCTCGCCAATGTGCGCTACGCCGTCTTTGGTCTGGGCAACAGCCTTTATCGTGACAATTTCAACCGCGTCGCACGCGAGATCGATGTTTCCATTGCCGCGCTTTCCGGCCTTCGCATCGTGCCCACTGCCCTAGGTGATGAGAACGTTGCCAACAGCAAAACCGGAAGCCTTGAAGGCGACTTTGAGGCCTGGTTGCAGGAAGCCGTCGCCCGCATTCCTGCTGCTCTCCAAGGCTCAGCAGTGGAAGCCTATGAGACGGATGGTGAAGCCGACAGCGAGGAGGAGGATGAGGCGGATGATGGCATGGTTGACCTCGAAGATCTTGGCAATGCTCTTGTCAAGGGCCGCGTACGTTTCAAGATGAATGAGGGGTGGAATCGCGTTTGGTAAACCCTTTTCAGCTTTCTTGCTTCCCAGGCCTTGTTTACTCACGGTCCGTGGTGTCTTTTCAAACAGGCGCAGCGCCAGGCTCAGGATCAAGACGCGCGTGTGGGCAAGCCTCGTGCTATGATCACACCGGCCCTGCGCAAAGCCCTCACTAAGCAAGGATACAAGCTGATCGGCTCGCATTCGGGAGTCAAGCTCTGTCGCTGGACCAAGAGCATGCTCCGTGGTCGCGGCGGCTGTTACAAACATACCTTTTACGGTCGGTTTACTCTTGTCCTGTTGTTGTCGTTCGTCAAACAGGGCTCGTCTTGCGCAGGTTTTGGTCCTGTTTGCACCTGTTCCCCTTTTGTTGGTCTGCTGTTAATATCTCTTGATATATCTGTGTTCTCTACGACAGGCATCGCCAGTCATCGCTGCATGGAAACGACCCCGTCTTTGGCCTGTGCCAACAAATGTGTCTTCTGCTGGAGGTATTTTCTATCGCTCACGTTCATGGACGTCTCTACGACACCACTGCCTTTCATGCCCGACAATCGCCCGGCGACCCTGCCACTGTTCTCTTATATTGGCCCAGTGACCAGACACGGGTTCACAAGTAGCTCAAACTTTCATGCCATTTTGCTTCCGTATTTTAGGCACCACACCAATCCCGTGGGAACTGAGTGGCGCTGGCAGATGGATGAACCCATTGAAATTGTCAACGGAGCCATGCAAAACCATTATGACATGGTGCGCCAGTTTTCGGGTGCGCCAGGCGTTATGCCTGAGCGAATGCGGGAGGCTATGGAGATTCGTCATTGTGCACTCTCTCTGGTCGGCGAACCCATCATGTACCCCAAGATCAACGAGTTTCTTGACCTTTTGCACGACCGCAACATCTCCTCCTTCTTGGTCACCAATGCTCAATTTCCCGATGCCATCGCCAACCTCCGCCCCTGCTGCCAGCTTTGTACGCCTTTCTGCTTCTTTTGCCAATTGTGCTTGAGTTCTTTGTTTCCTTCCATCCGCCAGCTTTCTCTCACTGTCCTGTGGTCGGCGGCATCTCGTTTCTTCCGCACCGGCAGACGTCAGTATCGATGCTAGCAATGAGGTCAGTCCACAGAGTTGTTTCCCGTTGCGGGCTTTTGTCTCCCACGTGCTCTCTCTAAGTGCTTGAAAACTCCTGCACTCTTGCCATTGGCTCACCCCCTCCCCTTTGTTGGCACGTTGCAGCAAAGTTTGAAGCAGATTGATCGGCCTCTGTTCAAAGATTACTGGCCTCGTTTCTTGGAATGCTTGCGCGAGCTGGGTCGCAAGGTATCACATGACAGACCATCTTGGTTTTTCCATCTCACTCGTTAGGTTGATGGGCAAGAGGCGGTGCAAGAACTCACTCGCCGCATGGATCTGTTCTCTTCTTTAGGGCCAACGTACAGTGTATCGCTTGACCGTGGTCAAGGCATGGAACGATGATGAGATTCGTGGCTACGCGGACCTCGTCCAGCTCGGCGAGCCAGACTTTATTGAAGTCAAGGTGCGATTTCTTGCTTGCAATTTCACAATCGCATCTTTGGGTGTTGTTCCCGCTTCCCTCCCTCCCTCCAAGCTCAGCTCAACTTTGCTGGCGTGCTCCACCTGCTCGTAGGGCGTGACATTCTGTGGCACCTCCAAAGCCTCGTCCCTGACCATGGACAACGTGCCCTTTCACGAGGAGGTGAGTTATTCAGCTGTTTCATATTTCGCGCATTTCAAGCTTTTACACAAAATTGCAAGCACGTCGTCCATGTACCCTATGCGCATGCACCCCCACCCATATCCTTGTATCAAGATATCAACTGACAAGCTGGAAGTCACTTCCACTCATGCGTGTCGGGCTGCGTTTTTTTTTCCGATTCATCCAATTCGCCAATTTTTGTCAACCCATTTTTCTTCTTCACATCGTCATTTCGACATGCTTGTACTTCCCTCTCACTTTGCCACCATATCTTTCTTCCTTCAGGTGGTGGGCTTTGTGCAAACACTCGTGGATATGCTGCCCGATTATGAGCTCGTTTGTGAGCACGAGCATTCCAACTCCGTGTTGGCCGTGCACAAGCGGGTACGATCGCACATGCAAACTGTCCTTCTGTACCCCTCTCTTGCTCTGGTTGGCTCAGGCTCACAGTGGGTTGTGCATACTTTGCTCTGTCAGCTGTTTGTTGGGGGTCGCTGGCACACATGGATTGACTATCCTCGCTTCATCGACCTTGTTCGCTCTGGCAAACCGTTTTCGACCGTCGATTACATGGCCCCAACGCCCGAATGGGCCATCTTGGGTCACGGTGCTCGCGGCTTTGATCCGGTTGAGGTCCGACACCGCCGTAACAAGCCAACCGGCTCGGGTTGCTGACACACACGAGCGTTTGCACAATCTGTCTAGTTCTCTGGGTGTTTGCCTGGTGATGAATTTTTGCCGGCTGTTTGCAGCTGTGGTGTTGATGTGTGCAATCAAAACTTGGTTATTTTTTTTTTTTTATGTTAAATTTTTTTCATTTTTGAGTGCATTTCCATCGTCTCGGACAAGTCAAAAAGGCAAATGATCAAGGAAAAAACAAATCGTGCCAATGCCTGAAAAGCTTTGGGAAATCAAGGGAGAGTGGCGTCGACAGCTCCGAACCGGCCCCTCACTATCAGTGTGGGGCCAGAAACTTAGCGACGACAGTATACGCGCAGTCCATCGCGAGGCACCAAGTCGCCAAGGCCATCGTGAAGCTGACCCAAGGACAAATCACCCAGCAAGCGCTCTGTTCCCCGCTCATCCAATGCAAACTGCCAAGTGGTGTACCTAAGATGAAAGGGAATCCACCATCGCCAGAGTGTCAAACAAGGCCCCCAAAGAGAAAATTTTCATCAATCACACGCTCACACATGCTCACACCACATCAAAACAGAGGCTAGCAACGCATCATCAAGCATGGGCAAATAACGGGGTACGTACTGTCCATGGTCATAGTCACAGATCATTTGGCGGAGAGTGGTGTCAGCGCTCACAAAGCGGTACCTGACGGTTTCTTCATCGCGAACAACAAGATGTACGATGGGAATGACTTGGTCACCGGTTGGCGCGGAAGTGGGCGTGGCTTGCTGTTGCTCATGCTGGCGTCTAATCAGATCTTGTAGTTCTTGATTGCTCTGCAAGAGCTGACGCATCAGACTAAGCAGCCAGCACGCAAGGCAGGTGACCAAGCATTTTTTAAGTTTCCAGGTGATGGGCAGAGCGGGAGGGATCACGAATTAGTGAAGCTTTGAATATTTGCCCAATTTTCTCTGGCACTCACTCAGAGAGCTGTTGGGATGTTTGCGTGCTCAAGGGCACATGGTCGTCCAGTCCACTCGTTTGAGGCTTGCGATGCGTTAATGGCAGCTGCTGTGGTGTAGACAGCTGCTGAGGTGTTGTTGCGGACGACCGTGCCAGCTATCAACAAGATGGGTTGCGATCGTGAAACCAAGACGTGTCAACTGCAGGCGGAGAACCTCAGGGGTTCCCAGCAACGGTCAAGGTGGAGACGAGGGTGTGAGTCACGCACTGGTTGGGGCACCGAGGCTGGGGTCAACGTTGGGGCAGCGATTGCGGGGGCGTGGTTGGCTTGTGGCAGGGATGCCGCAGCAGTCTGCTGCGCAACCATATCTATGATGAAGACGGGTTTGAGTGAGTTATTAGACAAGGGGTTGGTGTGCAGCTCCCCTGAGCCAATCCAAGCCGGTCGACGAATGCTGACACCAGAGCTCTCTCGGCACCCAGGGACGAGGGGAAGACCATCAATGTGACAAAGTCGCCAGGCTGGCCGGGCAGCTCGCTGAAAATTCGCACCTTCTTGTTTGCGCTTGAGGCTGGCCAATTTTTGGGCGTCGGCATGGCGACCTGCTCCAGGGGTGGATTTGAGATAGAAGAAGTCGGGATTGGCCAAGTAATTGGGTGTGAAGCCATCCTGCTTTGGCGCTTCATCGGATGATGGTAACTCTGTGACACCGGCAGCGCGAAGGATGGGCAGTACGGCCGGGTGGGCCACGTCTACAGGTGTTTCATTCTTGCTGTTGACGGTCTGCAAATTTCCTCCATTTTCCAGGAGGACGCGCAGGACGCCACCGTGGCCACGTTTGGCTGCCCAGTGCACAGCCGTCCTGGGAGATGAGGCAGGTGCAGCAAAAGCCAAAAGGTGAGCAAGGCATCTTTAACTGTAAGGGCCAACCACCGTGGGAGCCCTCTTCCGAGTGGTCGGTCCCCCAAAGGCAGGAAAGCGGTGCCATGCCAGCGAATGGATGAACCCTAGCCAGGCGGCTACTCCATCTCATGGTCCCAAGGTACACCACATCAAGCGAGCACACGCACCAGCCATTCATGTGGTTCTGGTCATTGGGATCGACGCCACTACTGATAAGCTCCTGGACGGTGTCAGTGTCCCCTGCACAGGCAGCTTCACGCAGCGTCTCCGCACGCTGATCCAATACACGACCGGCCATGTCGTCCCCGTTTTCAAATCAGCACGTCCTGTCACAAGCAAAAACACAAAAAAGAAAGTGTGTGTGTGTGTGTGTGTGTGTAAAAGTGAGACAAAAACCACACTACCGTACATGGGGCAGTCTTCTCTCTCTCTCTCTCTCTCTCTCTCTCTCTCATGAATTGCATCCCCGCCCTATTTTTTTTTTTTTTTTCCTCTGCAGGACGAGCAGTGTCGGGCGAGGTGAGGGCGGGCTGCAAGCGGGTAGAGGGCGAGCTTGTTCTGGCCACGCGTGTTGAGAGTGTACAGGCTATTGGTGCTGATGGGCGGTTCACCGGCTAGCTTGTACTATCCAAGGCTATAGCCAGCATCCACAGGGCTCTGGAGAGCCACGCTCAACTGTGAAGTGTGGATGTGGGTGACACCACCCAGCTGTCATGTCTGGTGTTGATGACTTGGAGGCGCAGCGGCGTCGGCGGCAGGAACAAATAGATGAACAGGCAGGTTTTCAACATGCCTTTCTCTGCATGCGATCAAGGTGGCGCTGCGTCACGGTTAAGGGCTGAGCTTCATTCGCTTGTTCAACTGAAATAGAAATATGACCCGGGCGTTTTTGCTCAAAACGTTGCACGTTTGGAATTGAGCAAGGTATGGCTTCAGCGCGCGCAGCGTGTGCTTGTGTGGTCGCCTCGCCTCACTCTCATGCATCATGGCCTCGAATGCAACGATTGCAGACGCCATGCCTAAAGGAAAGCTTTGCTCAGGGAGCCATGATGGGCGCCACCGTTGGTGCCATTCGCTTTGTGCGATCAAGTAGGTTGTGTTGCCACCTGCACCCAGCCCAGTCGCTGTCCGTGTTGATGCCAACTGCCTGGCTCCTTTTCTGTGCGAATCTAGAATACATTGTCTCAGCACTCAAGTGGGGCACCGCCACCTTTATGCTCTCAACCATGGCTGCGCTGTACGTTGCAATTTCTGTGTCACCCGTGGCCTTTGTGGCGCAGCGCTCTCAAATTTTGCCCTCACCTCATGTCTTGAATCTCAATCCATCCATACTACAGCGAGTTTTGTCGCTACAACCGGCAAGCTTCAGAGAGTCGTTTGGATAAAACCGTGGCAGCCATGAATGAGTATAACCGTGCCAAGGCTGGCAAGCAATTGCCCTACCCACACGACCGAGATGTGACCTCCAAGTAGTCCACTTTCTTTGGCTTGTCGGTCAAACCTTAGTCCATCATATAAAAAGTGGTTGAGAACGACAAGCTCGACTATCTTGTTTATTCGCGATTAACGAACAAAATTGCTGTTCAAGTATCAATTAATGATGCTCGACCGGTGTGCTGAAACAGCCGGGCAAGCATGTGATCCATCAAAGAGCTTTCGGCCTCTGAACCGCGCAGCCTCAGGACTGCGACACTCACATCACAGGGTCTGGCAAGTTGTTAGGCATCATCAAGTACCGCGTTGCAACCATTCTACAAAAGAACCTTCGACAAGGTATCGGAACCATGGTTGGGCCAGAAGAACTCACGGAGGGCTGGTAAGAGCGCTTTCTTGATAGTCATCAAGGGTGTACAGACCAGGCTCGGAACATTGTACAAGCATCACATCAATCCACGCAGCACATCGGTGCTACTACGACCGCGCTCGAAAGCATCAAGAGAAAGCATCATCAAGCCATTTTGATCTGGGCTCGAGCTGGTGCCAAAGATCAAAGCTTGGCGCCTTCAACACCGGTGGCCAAGCAGAGGTACTCGTCTCATGGGTCAAACAGAGCAGGTCATGATTGACCAAATGCACTGGCACCGGGCGTATTGGCACCAGCGCTTGTCATGCATGTGTCAGCATCGGGGGCACACGCGTCCGTCAACGCACGACAGGCACGTAAGATGCGTTTGCGCGCGTGCAAAGTCATGATGCCGATGGACTTAAGATCATCATTACACAAGTCAAGCAGGTCACAGCCCTGCAACTCTTCGCGAGCAAACAAAGGCCCGTATTCAGCAAGCCCCGCTTGTTCGAGCCAAGCAACCACCTCACTACTGGTCCAACGCAGTGGCTCAAACGCCTCCTAAATTCAAAACGCACCAAAAAGAGCAACAAAACAATTAAATAATGCCATGGCAGACAACGGCGCATGCGACGCCCCAAAACCTGTTTGACACTCGCATTTGCGTTCATAACAAACGGGCGTACCTGTGTCTCTGCATACGCCGAAGCAATGGATGTAACAGAGGCTGTCGACTTTGAACGAGGCAACGAGTGCCCAGCATTCGAGCTGCCTGGGCTCGCGTTTACAGCCGGCACTGCATCTGCCGTCGATGCGTGCTGTGGGTTTGGGGCCGAGCTGACTCGCGTTGTGGCCGCCTTGGCCTCGGCACCAGTCGCAGAGCCATCGAGTGCAACCAAAGAGGAAGAGCTTTTGCCCTCTTGGTGCTGCCGCGGAAAGCCTCGCGGAGGCTTTGGCAACTCACTTTTGTCTTGCGAGGAGCGATACGGGCGCAGGGCTGAGACGCTGGCTCCTGAAGACTGTGTTCGACCCCGAGAAGGCAATTCATGCCCACCAGCTGCACCGGCGGCCAGTGTTTTACCTTCGGGCGCTGGTTGCACAGATTGGACAGCTGGACTAGCAGCTTGCTCATCGGATGGCTGCGACTTTCCTTGTGCCTCTACGGTTGTTGATGCGGTTGAGGGCGACGCTGTTGTTGCTGTTGCTGTTGTTGTTGTTGTTGTACCTGCTGCTGCTGTTGTCGCCTCGGGTGGGGCTGGAGCTGATGCGCAATCATTTACGCTCTGCTCCATTTGCGTTGCAAAGCGGTCTGCCAAGTCGCGTGTGGTCGCAAACGAGGTGCTGCGTGTACGGTCAGACCAGGTTCGATGCTTATAGTCAGCGCCGGAGACTTTGGGGTCTGGATTGGTGCTGACACGAGCGCGCCCCGTTGGGTTGCCATCACGATCAAAGTGCAGCGAGTGTGGTCGGTTCCGTGACACCCCTCCAGCAACAGCGTCGCCACTACTGCCAGAGTGTAGTGGGGTTGCCGTCACACCGACGGCTTGACTGTATTTCTTGATGCGGAAAGCAATATCTTCGCTCACTTCTGTGACAGGCATTTCACCAGGGTCGGCAGCGGCGGCTTGTTTTGGCGAGGTTTCTGAGCCTGCGCGTTCTCTCTCCTGTTGCAGCATTTGCGTCGCATCAGTGCGCACAGACAAACACATGAGTGCTGCCGGGAGGTGAGAGCATAAACACAAAAACAAGAGTGCCGCATGGAAGGGGAGACGGGAGCGGTGAACAAAGGTATCGGGCTCAAGCATCAAAAAGACAAGATGGGTATCCACCATCGTTTGCCTGCATACCGTCGTGCCTGCATCTTCGAGCGCTACCTGAGAACCCCTCTCCGCTGCCACCCTGTTGCCCAGCGTCCTGCAAGTGAGTAACATTGGCACTTTATAGCCTGTCTGAATCATTCATTGAGAATCGCAGGCCTGGCGAGGGCGTACCAGGCTCGCAGTTCGGGCGCAGGCGTGCTGGGGGGCGTGGATACGGGCGAATCGGGCGGTGTCACTTTTTTGATTGTGGGCGTCACGGGCTGACTCAGAGGGATGGGGGCATGAGGCGGCGGCTTGATGTCGAGCTCGGTACCAAAGGCACCGGAGCGCCGGGCAGTCAGCATGCCCTCGTACATGACGAGCTGAGTGCGAAAGCCCTCGTTGGGCTTGATAATTCGGCGCCGCTTCTATCGACAACACCCATTGAACGCAGCTGGGGCGTGAGTAGACTGCTTGATCGAGGTGAGCAAAGCATCAAGGAGACAGACAAGCCGGGGTCAAACCTTGACAAAAGCATGTGCTTCTTCGAGCGACCAAGAGTATTGCTTCATGGCGTAGGCAATGACCGTTGACGCGCTGCGACTGACGCCCATCTTGCAGTGAACAAGAACAGAGGAGCCGGCTTTTCTTGCTTGGCGGATGAAGTCGTAGGTACGATTCCAGTTGGGCCAGATAGTTGTGGTTGGCACATCCCAGACGCTGCGTAAGCAACACATCAAGTAGGAGGGCACAACATCTGCATGTGAGTCTGGCACTCTGCTGCTTGTCTTTGAACCATTTCTCAAGGCTAGACGGCACGCTGGCATTGCCACGACAGCCGCAGGATAGCACGCCGTACCGAATGTTACAGTATTTGATTTTGTCGGGAAAAAAGTTTTCAATCTCACAGGTGACGTTGATGATGTACTGACAATTGTTGCGACTCAGCTCCTCCCAATTGCTGGCGTTCCATTCCGTGCCGAGATAAAGGTAGTCGAAAATCTTGGAGGAGGGCTCCATCTGACGACACCCCACAGTATAAAGCGAACGCTTAGGGGTGCACCAGGAAGCGCTTCGGGTTGAAATCGCAAGCAAGCCCTTTGCGCAGCAGCATCTGACCAACCTGGCCCATGACGGTGATCATTTGCTGATCAATGATTTTGCGATACTTCTTCAAGTCCATGTCAAACTCAGCTTCTAATTGGAGCCGTAGCTGCTTGCTGGTGATGGTATCCAAATCGCTTTTGAACATGATCTCCTTCAGCTTGCTGATGATACGCTGCTCCAGCTCCGAGTCAAGATGCGGCCCCTTGTCCCTATGATGCCAGGATGCGAGGCAAGGTGATGAGCATTTGGCGTGGTCACTGCCCCACTCCCTCCCTCTTGATTGAGTATCATGCTGCACTCCCCCGCCCCTCTCTCTCTCGATTAAGTATCATGTTCGTCACCCATGGCGACTCTCATATCCATGCTGGCGGCAACCAACCTTTGAAGAGCTCCAGCTTGCTGCTTGCGAATCAGCTGAAGTTCCGAGGTGCGGGAGGGAACGATGTGAGTCCAACGTTGGAGCTGCTGTTGAGTGTCGTTGATTTTGTTGCGATAAAATTCGAGCCAGATCCAGTCGCTATGATCACGACCCGAGCCTTCGCGGATCTTGAGAATGGCTTGGAGCGCATCCCAGAGATTTCGAATGGAGGCAGGGCGAAAAGGCATGAAGCGTTGCTCTTTTCCTTGTTGTGACTGATAGACCAAGCCACCGTCTCCATCAAGAACGATATCACAGGTGTGGTCGACGGCAAATACAACGTCCACCTGCAGAATATCCCCAGAGCCGGGGGTGGCTAATTCCATGCCCAGTAACGCCCATTGATCCGTCTCATCATGGCGAATCAAAGCCAGGTAGCTGTTGCGCGGTAGCTCCGTAGCCGACTCGTTGAGGGTGGAGTTGTCTGCGTTGGAAAACACATACATACAGCTATCGCCCACGTTCAGGAGACCATCGAGGTGATCTAGCACGGGATGCATGCGACTATCTTCGTCGGTGGTGATGCTTTCTGCGCGCGAGGAGGCGCGCGTCTCATCAACGACTCCACTCGTGGAGTCACCATCGTCATCCTCATCGATGGCTATGGCTGCCGTCGACGTGGTGCGGTACGTGGCCCTGCACACCCATAAATGCACGTCCCCAGAATCAAAGAGATGTGAGAGATGAAGTGGTGCGATGCCAAGGCCTGTTCAAATACAGGGACTCAACCAGCAACCCGGAAAAGCAGGCTACAGGGTTGTCACATGTTATTCGTACCGATCTGCGGCAGGGGTGTGCTCAATGTTGGACTAAGGGGGGCAGAGGTGGCAAGATAGGCGGCGGCGCATTCATCGGGTCGGGTCAGCAAGCAGTAGCGAGGAGGAGTGTCACGAGAATCGACGAAGTTGACTCGGCATGCAAGCTGGCGCACCTCTCGTCGCTCAACAGAGTAGAGATGGTAGTGTTCATGGCCCTCAGCACTCGGTGAGAGGCAGTCCTCGGCAATCAAGAGCGCGTCTGGACGATCGGGGTCATGTTGACTTGATGCCATCATGGAGGCGCATGGGGAGACGCAGAAAGGAGCGCTACAGAGCAAGAGCGCCCGACAAGTCAATAGAGCGTGACCTTGCCCAATTTACGTCCGTCAACCACCATGCACAAACCACTCCACTAGCTCCGTGTATCTCAGAACCAGTGTACAACTTGTCCTCCCACTGAACGGGCGGACGGGTCGACAGGTAGATGAGCGGGCGGAAGGCAGTAGATCGACCGATCCGCCCCTGAATCAGTTCACTGAGGATGGTGGTGGTGATGATGAACGAATCGAATCGAACGCTCGTGATGAACGAAAACGTCAGACAACAACAACAACAACAACAACAGCACCAAGAGCAACAGGAGCAACAATCAATGTCAGGTTATGTTTTGCGTCAGGATGAATGGCTGGAGCTTGGCGGTGCCCTTTCTGATCGCAATGGCGTTGTTGGGGAGTGCCGAGAAAGAGCAGCCACGGTAATGCAAAGCGTCATTGTTGAGTGAGATCTTTCAAGTTGGGAACAAAGTTGAATTTGAAACGTTAAAAGAGTCCTCGTGAAGAGACGGCACTGGGTGGGCTCCCACGGCACTCAAGAACTAGAAAGAGCTGAATGAAAGCGCGTTTTCGCGACTAGGTATGGGTTCTCATTGGCGCCAGCTGGCCTTCTCCTCAGCCGTGGGGAAACGAGTCGTGGCGGTGAGCTGAACGACCTTTTTCTCCGTGAGTTTGCCTTGCTGAACCTTGCTCGGCTCCATGCGGGCAATGTCGACGGTCGAGCCAGGCACGGGGTTGTACGAAGCCTCCACCGCAGCAATGGCCACATAGTTGAAGTCATCGTCCGTAAAGGCAAAGCTTGTCACGGTTCCCACAGCCCGACCTACAATCCAATTCAAACACGCACGTGGAAACATGAGCACGCCGATGTAGTTGGGGGTCCCGGTCGCGACCAGCGAGGGCCACTCCTCAGAGCGGAAGTCACAAAGTCTATGATATTCGTACCGTCAACCACGACGGTGTGACCGGGGCGAGCAGCCTGGCGGCCCTGGCCGTGCAGGCGCAGCAAACGCTTATTGCGAGGGTGTGTGCGCTCGATGTAGGCGTCGCGACCCACGTAGAAGGGGCGATGGAAACGCGACACGTAACCATAATCCGCCTCGGTCAGCGACAGCTCCTCGGGACCCTCCAGCTCCTGCACGGGGGCGAAGATACGAATGAGAGCACGCCAATGGCTTCATGCACGCTTGAAGAATATGATGGAAGGCGCTTGGTTGAAACGTACATGGCCAAAAAGAGGGAAGCCCGCTTGGATGCGAGTCGAGTCACGAGCACCAAGACCGGCCGGGATGACACCATCCGCCCGACCCTCGTCCAAGAGCGCGTCCCAAACCGTTTGGGCGTGATCAGGATGGAAGAACAGCTCGTAGCCAATCTCCTAGGGAAATGTAGCAAGCCACCAGGCCAAAGGATTTTGAGCTCAAGTTGATCAGGCCGAGCCAGCGTGCCGCCAAAAAAGGCCAAGAGGGGAATTGTAAACAAACAAACAAACACATGTATCAAAAAGCGACTCAACGGAATGCAGCAGTACAAACAAAATAGGTGAGCTAATCTCGAGGACGTAAACAGCACGATCCCACCTCGCCAGTGTAGCCAGTGCGGGCAGCAATGACAGGCTTGCCAGCCACGTGAATATGGTGAATATCGTTGAGCTTGCCACCGCGCAAAGCATGCACCTGCGAATGCGACGGGCAGATCAGAAGAAGAAATGACAAATGTTAGTTTGTCTGAACTTTCAAATATCGGCGACTCGAAACTTGGAGAATACTCACCTCATCCGCGCTTGCGGTGCATCGAGCCAGGACATCCATGCTCAAGGGACCCTGAGGTTGGTAGCGACAACGAGTTTGTACTGTGAGTGCTTGTTGCAGTCTTTGCAGCACGGCCACGGGCAAGCAAAGCCAAACCTGGAAGGCAATGCCGATGAGAGACTTGTCACCGGCCTCACGGAGCGGGTACACGTTGGCCGGCGTGGTCAACCGCTTGCTAGGGTTGGCGACGTCGATGCTCACACGACCCTGCGTGCATTATGGGCAGATGGTGAGTGGGGCAAGAACGCGAGTAGGGGTGTCATGTGAGATCGGCAAGAGACCCACCTCGTTGACGGCGGTGAGCCAAGCAATATCTTGTTCATAGTTGCCAGCATTGAGGACGACCATAAACTTCTCCTGGTTGAAGCGGTAGACGTAGGCATCATCCAGCGCCGTGCCATCCTCACGCAACATGTATCTAATCGCGAGGATCACGGAATGAGGGAGAAAGGAGAAACTTTTTTTGAACCAACGGCGGCGGGCAATCATATCTGAATCCTGTCAATACAATGTGTCTGCCGCTCAAACACGCTGACAAGGGCCAACAGCACAATCAACTGACGTGTATTGCGCCTCGTTATCCACGAGGCGGGCCGCCGTGTTGGCAAAGACGAGCTCCAAAAAAGCCAGCGCATTCGGACCCTCCACCGCCACAGCGCTCATGTGGCTGACATCGAATAGGGCCGCCGCCTTTCGCACTGCCCGATGCTGGGAAGGTCAGCAAGCAGCGTGTGAGTGAGACGTAGCAAGCAAAGACGACGGAAGCCTTGAAGGAGGGCAGTCGCTGCAATTTCATCGAGGCCACGACTGAGCTGAAGCATACCTCAGCTGAAATGCCTGTCTCATACTTGACGGGCATGGACCAGCCGCCAAATGGCACCATGGAACCGCCATTGGCCTCATGCCAGGCTGCGGGATAGCACAAAAATGGTCAATGACAAGCTTTCGGAGACGAAGCAGAGCCAAAGCTCGCGACGCAGCATACGGCAACCCACCATGGTAGACGGTACTCTTGTCTGTGCCGTCACTGGGCGACCAGGAAAAGGCGGGCAAAGGGGAGCCGGCGGGCGACACAATTTCTTGGCCCACGAAGAAGGGTTTGTCGTGAACGATCTGCACATCGGCAAAACCACTCTTGGCACGAATGGCATCTGCCACTTCGGTGGGCAGGTTAGCTTCTGTGCAGGCATGGACCGCCAAGGGGCCGTCCACCTTCATGTACGGGTCGCGCTTAGACAGCGAGACGTAACCATCTAAAAAAAATATAATGATGCCATACGCAGAGACATGAGAAAGCGCGAGCGCAATGGCCACTATCTCATAGGGAGGAGGCTAAGAAGTAAGAAGAAAAAAAAAAGGAAGAAAAAAGAAGGGAAAGAGGGAGGCCAAAACAGTCACCCCCAATACAAATAGAAACAAAACAGAGGAACAAAAACACAGCCACAAATCGAGACTTCAAACGACGCACAGAAAGGACCATGGCCACAGACAAATCTGTCCATCAGCATGTTTTTGCATGTGGCACTGCCTGCGCGAACGAGCGTCGAACAAGGACTCACCAGAAGCTGCTTCAATCCATTCCAACACGGCATCAGCTTGTGCATCGGGGGCAAACAGCACAAAAACATCCTCGCCGTTGGGGCCGGATGCAATGGAGTCCCGGCGACCGACGTATGCAACATGCACCTGCATAAAGAGTGTGACACACGGGCATGAGCCGTGCAGACGTGGATCATGATAAGAGTTGCGAATGTGAATGTGACGACCATAATACGGTGCCCTTCCGTGGACTCACATCGGAAAGCTCCGTGCCATCAGCCAAATACATGCGGCTGGTCACCACACCATTCTTCTCGAGAGGAAGCACGTCTGCAGTCAGAAGTTGGTCCAGGCCCAGCTTGGCCTTTTCGCCACGCACGGTGATGGCGGTCAGACCATTGATGTGAGCCGCGTCCTTCAGCAGGTCGAACTCGGCGTCGCTGTACTTGGACTCGTCCAGCTTGGGATAGGGCAGCGAGCGCGCCAAGGCGCGAACCTGTAAACAAGCAGTGGGATCGAGGA